TATTGCCAGTAACCACGATATCACTGATTGGGCCCTTTTTTAACTTGTACAACGAAAGGTTGTACACTTTTCAGGAACGAACCTGAGATTTTATTCCAATATCCTTTGTTCATGGTGAAGCTTTAAACAAATCACATTAATAGTAATTCACTGAATAATAAAGAAGATAGTAGCGTAGGAATGATAAAGTAAATTACCACTTCTTTAAATAACTCCCGTGTATTAATCTTAGAATCTTACAAGATCAACCATAATCGCTTGTTACAAATCACTTTTTAGGTTGTTAGTAAATAATGCAAATAAGCGGTAAACTAAGGAGATGCTGATGTTCGGCACTTTTGGGTCTTTTTATAATCTTCAGTTAATGAAATGTTAAATTTTGTGAAAATAACCAAATCTTTACATTATAGATGTCAAGTAATATACGTTACTAATGATCAAGCCGCATGTAAGTTTCTATTATGGAAAAGAAAATAAATAGATTTGCCAACATTTATCATCAAATTTGTACTGAAATTATTGACTAACATCAATGATTCAAAGCATTTGGTCATATGCCACCCAAGAATTTATAAAACTTAAAATTTCTGAAAGATTGTAATATTCAGTGCAATATTTCAAAGCAAAATTCTAACTTTTATTGTACAAATACATTCACATGGGGGGGGAATATTGATGATTTAAACAAACAGATCTTAGTCAGATCGAGCAATTGTGCCTGAATAATAATTTTTCTTGATATATTTCTTCCCGTAATCAAAACCTTACACTGAGCATTATCAGTATTAATTCTAAAACTTTCATTTCATTCTATTTAAAATTTTAGTTTAGTTATTCTCTTTTTATAAACTAATCCACTATCCAACATTAAATCATAGTCAATAAGTATTTACATTCGGAAGATATTCAGGAGGTCAGCAGTAATATCTATGAGGAATTATAACGTAAGGTGTGATTTCAAAATTGAACGAGAAATGATGATGTATTATAATCTCAGAGTTATTTTTCTTTTTGTTAACCTATTATTCATTCAATAAACATCTTAGCAAAAGCTGGGTGGATTATATATATGTATATATAATTGGCAATTTTCGTTCAGGTATATTCCATTTGGCTAAATATCATTCATTCAAAGAATGTTTATCAATTCAAACATATATGTATATTTATATATCTACATACCTGAGGCTATCAAATGTAATTATTATCAGATAGTTCACTACTCTCTTATAAATTACCTACAATTTGTCTTGTTTTATTCAATAATACATTTGTTTTATCTCATTATATCTTCCAATATTCAGTGTATTGTTTTCTAAATCTCACAAGGGACTTTTTAAGATAAATATGTTGAAGCAGTAAAATATTTTTCTAATAAAGCAGTTAAGATAGATACAATTCGAACTTATCGATACGTATTCTCTATGAATTAATACGGTAAACGTTTCACGGTTTAAAAACACTTGTGTAGCTCGACCTTGGAATAGTTAATAAATGTTGTTTGATGCTACCTATTCGTTCTTATTGAACTCTGTACGCTATTTTGAAAAATTTGATGGTAAATAGTTTGAGACAACTAATTTTAGACTAATAGTTGAATTCATGAGTCGACCTAAGCTAGACTACCATTGAAAACCTGGAAGTACTGTTAAAAATACTGCAATCTTCACAACTCTCCCTAATGGTAATAATAATGAGCTCATGAGTGACTAGCTTCAAGATGAATTCCCTGGAGTTCTAGTGAGAAGCCGTGATCAGTGGAATTCAATCCGTGTCGAGCAGAGATATGTACCTACCTCAGATAATGGATGAAGGGATGAGCAAGTCCATGAATCAATTAAAGTTAGACCTTAAAATCGTTGGATGTCGGCTCAGTGGTCTAGAAGTCAAGTATTCGCTTGTGAGACCAAAAGTCCTGGTTTCGAATCCCGCATGCGGAATCGTGGATGCATACTGCTGAGGAGTCACTTACTAGAACGAATCAACTCCATTGGTGGTCTAGCTTAGATTGACTTGTGAATTCTATTGCGGAAATACTAAAATCTCCACAAACCCCGATTCTGATAATTTTAAACCAGGCAGAAGGAGATGAATCACCTGATAATAAGATGTTTGCATGTTCGCCGTGTACAGAATAAATTTTTCAGTCATTATGAAACAAGTAGACAATTGAAATAACCGTAAATGTGGAAATGTTGATCACAATTTCTGCATATGACTAATAATTTATATATATTGAATGATGGGTAGAAAAATAAAATACGGCATGGCATTTGTGTTGATTTGTCATGGTCTCCAAGCTTTGTATAGTTGAAACAATTATTACTATTGGAATTGCAGAATTGACTTCAAAACCCATTACGATAACAGAAGATTCGAGGTCTATTAGAAGACTTTAAAGTTTACAAATGAAATGGTTTGACTTGAAATGCTAGACTCCTATAAGTGAATTCATATGTAATTGCAAAGTTCACATCGATTGTTGTTGGCTTTAGACATTGACCTTCAGCACTTTCCCAATGTCTTGTATACACGAATCAGTAAAACAAACTGAAGTCATCAAGTATTTGCAACAACACTTTTCAGAAGAATTTACACCAAATTTGATTCGTTCGTGTAGTGCTTCATACCATGTGTCAACACTGTCTATTAGGTTAGCAAAATGGCAACGAATGACTTATTGAAGACGTCGTTAATAAAATATATTTATGTCTACGACGGTTCAGGCGATAATGTAGAAAAGAGTGACAGTCTGATTGATTGTAGGTTTCATGAGCATCTTTATCATACACACCGGCTGCGCGAAAACGAACACTGTGTCAGTTTCAAAACTTGATTGGTCGTTAACGCATCATCACAGACAAAACTTTGAACGCAAATAAACTACTTAGTTTAAAACTCAGTATTGTGCAATCCAACTTAGCATGTGGCAGATATGTAATTTATTCCAAACATTTTTTCCATAATTATTGATGGTGTCTCCACTAAGTCTCTTACCATTTTCGTTCAACATAATTCGCAGTCCGAATTCCCTATGTCAACAGTGGGATCATCGATCAAGGTATCAGTACTTAGAAACGAGATTTATGAACCGGTTGTGCGAAAGAGACAAGGATTGATAATCCTGATATTTTACGCTTTACCGCTTCCTATTATTTCACAGACAGATTTCGCCCAACCACTGAATGTCAGTGCTAATTTATGTAATGAGATCAATCAATCTACAAACGACTGTTCAAGCATAATACCACAATTCTAACTATCCCAGTAAGCTGTCGACAGTCATATTGTTCGTGCACTTTATTATCAAAATTTTAAAGGTGGCTACTTTTAAAGCTTGTTAGTAGTTAAAACATCTTAAAGAAATTAGCTAACGACGATAGCAAAAGAGAAATGGAGTATAATCAATTGAGATTTTCCTGAGCCGACAAGTTGCGTTTAAGTTACTATAGTTCTACCCAATAACTACGTAAACTGTTACGCACTTACCTTAGGGTGTAATTATTTCATAAGGTGCAGATATACTAATATAGTTAGGAATAACGAAATAGCAGAAAATATGTTGAAACCAGGGATAATTGTTGTGTTTAAAAACCTTGATCAAATTTTACATGAGCCAGTGGTGAAATATACTGCAATAAACTGCTGAAATCCTGAATTTTTTCTCATTTGTTTTGCAAAGACTTGTGTTGACGGTACTTTATATCAATCAACCGATACTGTGCTCTCTTTCTTTAATTAGATAGTCAAATTATGATTAATGAAACTTATCTCATGATAGTATTTGACACAAATATTTAGAGAATAATCTGGTCGAATTTCTTCTATCAGTCAAACGTTGAAATTTTAGTTTAACAACTCGTCGAGAGAACATGAGATCACGTCTGCTATCACAAAACTATTTATCCTAATGCTGTTAAGCTTTTACGTCAGTTGCTAGTAAAAGCATAAATTAACTAATATTCCACCTCTGATATTTAAATGATAATTATCAGCAAAGCAAAGTATACACAACCTCTAACAGCTAAAAATTAGATGGAACAGCCTAAGCAGCTTCACTCATCCTCGGGAATGTGTTGTGAAAAGTATGTAAATTGTCTCTATGGTAACGAGATCATTGCACGCTGGAACATTAGGAATCCATGTGATTCATCTGGCATTGTTCCATCAATAAGTGATTCATTACTTACGGAAATATTTATTCAGCTCTCTACTATCATTTCTTATTTTAAACTTTTATTAAAAATATCGGGCAAGTTTATTCCTCTGGAATTCCCTTTAGTTAATTATTGATTAAATATGGCAAGTCATAGATTATGTCGGCTCTGCATATCATTTGTCATATCTTTATATGATAGTTTGTAAAAATGATTTCATGTTCTTTTAGACAGCATAATTAGTAGTTTTTAATTCGTAAACATTATTTTGACAACGATAGTTGATCACGCTGGATATATGTCAAATACATTTATTACAGATGAAGACAACCCAACAACCAGTGTGTTAATCTTTATTATAGAAGTTAGTTTGGACTCATTGCTCGAGATGAGTTGGAACTTATAATTCAGTTCTTTATGTAAAAGTTGAAAATTTTCCGATATTCATATTCAGAACTGGGACTGATTATGCTCTATGGGGGTATATGGACACAGCAGATAGTCTAGATACAGACCTTAATTGGAAGTTTTGGTATATTTGGATTGTAGTTAGTAGTGCGAATTCGGACATACATATCACCCTATCCTGGACACAGCAGCTTGTACTCAGAGGTGACTTTCACACTAAGACTAACTTAAAACATATCTGTTCAAAACCCAACGGATTATCCTACTAATCATCCTTAATTCAGTTGTCGGTCACAATTGAAATATATTATAATTCAGTAATTTGGAATTCATTTACTTCACCAGGTTGGAAACAACTTATTCAACTGCAGACATGTTTCAAGTAAGAATTAATTAATTTTACACATAAACATATGGAAAAGAAATAAACCATATACTTCTAAATGAATGTTTATATTCTGTTTTATAAGTTATTTATTAAAACAATATTATATCAAAAGCAACTTAAGAACTAGTGAACAATTGATTTGGATAAATCACAACCGTATTTTATTTATATAGAAATGGAAAGTAAACAAGTTTTATCCAATTGCACACACATCATTCTTGAGGCGAGGGTTAAATGTATGGACAGAAAGTCACTAGTTACAATACACTGAATCAATGTTTTATTTTTGTTACAGAACGATTAAGATAATAATTCTTATATGATATGCATAATGTTTAATTGTTTTCGGTTGAATAAATAAAGCAAGATATAAATGAGAGAAAAGAAATAGTAATCACAAGCATTATTATTGAATAAATATATTTCCCTCTAACGTCGCAGAATATCTATTCATACATACAGACATACAATTAACTGGCCTACATATTGAACGAAGTAATCAAATCGCGAATGTTGAATATACTGTTTAATAAATGCAATTTAAAAAATACTCATTATTAATCTATCACAGTAGAAGAGGAGGAATAAAGAAAACACGCCGACAAACGTGAAGAAGAAGCAGAATGAAGGATATTAAAAACGGGAAAAATAGAACAGTGTAGACTAAAAATTTATCATGTGTATTTTGAGACAGTCAGCACAGAAATAACATAAGAAAGAAGAGATTAAATTGAATAATATATTTTTCTCTTTTTCATGTTTATATTCCCTGTTGTTTTGATGTGAATATGATGATATGAATGATTTAATTTGTTAATCTATAGAACAAAGAAATTTATTTAAAGTATATAAATCACTATAAAACATGTGGACAAATCATCGTTGAGTGTATGATAATGATATTACTGTTGGACATGATAGATAAATGATAAAATTATGAAAGGAAGAAATCAGTACAAACAAATGGCAGGAAAATATATTGAAACCGGTTGTTTCTAAACAACGCCGATAAACAGACACTTTGAAAAAGTAATAATCACAGTAAAATAAACACAGAAGGAAACAGTATAAATAACCTATGGGAGTGGAAGGATGTATTTATCTTCTGAAAGTAGATTTCTAGATCAGAAAAAAAAATAAATCAGGTAAAAAAATCATTACACATGTGAATCAAGTACATGAACATAGATTCCATTTGGCGAAAAACGAATAGTTTCAACACTGTGTACTGATGGTAAATGAAATGGTGTAGGTATTTGACCATCTTTTGCTATAGTTAAAATGGAAGATTCTGGTAATATACCTAACAGACCACAAACCCAAAATTTTCCGGGACGTAAAAATATTATAGAACTAATGGATGTTTCAGATTTTTGACTAGATGGTGATAATGATGATGACGACGAAGACTGAGAGATAGAGAACTAAAAACATTAAAACAAAAACATACAGTGATTACAAACATTTCTGATAGGTTAATTATTTACACATTTATAAGCTTTAATGTTTAAGAAATGCAATCGGACACTCACCCCAATACTACCTGAGGCTTTTCCAACAAAAGTATAATCCATTCCTTCAATTAATGGTCCTAACAAAGTACTCTGAGTTGATTCATGATCATCATTACTAATGTGTTGAACATGTCTATATACAGCGGGACCCATCCAAACATGTTCTATTCGAAACTCTTGTGTTGAATCTGTGGTACCATTTGAGTTGAGAAACGAGTTTTTTCGTTGAGTTGTGGAGTCTTTAGAGTATATTTTTTTAAAAACGAATAAAAATAATAGAAAGAAATGTTTACACAAATGATGAATTACAACTAATCAAAAGCAATATTTAAAAAAAATTATCAGGAAACATAAATTCAGAAACCTGTTCGTTTTACAGCAATAAAGTGATTTCATTTGCTTTAAATGAACTAATATGGTAAAAAAAAGTTAGATGTTCGCACAACATAAAGAGCCATTGATTAGTAAAACCTATTTATTTATTTGAACACATAAATATAGGTAAGAAGGGGCACCGAATATATATGCGCCACACAAGTCACTTGATTCGTGTGTGGGCTGTGATGTTGCCCGGGTGCCCAACTCAAAGCAGGTGGTTTTTTTAGGTGGACACTCCCCGAGCTCTTGACCTAGAGGTATAATCCACAAGTCTGTGGAGAAACGTTAGGAGATTCACTCCCATTGTAGCCGGTGACCAACAATAGGTTCATACGCCATTTGTTCCCTCAGGATTTCAGAGCTTATATGCACCATTGGTTTGAAATCAGGATTTTTCAGTTGCCTTAAGTGGATCACTCAAAACCCACCAACCCGGTAAACGTAGCGGACATTCGCTTTTCGTCCTCTCAGTTTGGATAAACAACACCCTCGTGCGAGAAGGAAGTTAGTAGGACTTCCGTGGGAGTGGCTGTATACGCGTGGTTATGCCAGAGCATTTCAAGAGGATGGGTGGACTCTTCGCACCCTTGGATGTAACAGGGAAATCGAGGGCTAAATACGTTCTACATGCTGATGCTAAATGGTTTCCTAGATGACAGCAGAAATGTTTGTAAACAGCATAACAATGGAGACAGATTTATAGAAGTTAAAATATTCTTCACCATCTGATTATTAACACAATTCATCTTAGGTAATTTTAAGAATGTCGTGACTATTATTTTAAAGTCTATTTATGCAAGTTTGTTCTACTTCTTATGTTGAAATTTTATTCTTTTTACACCAGCATTTTAACTTTTTATCTATTATTTGTAGTTATGCAATCTATTTCATTGTGATTATCGACTTATTAATTGTCTTGATTGATTTAACATTATTCGCTTACATATGTTATTTTAATAAAAGTAATTTCTACAATTCTAATCGAATATCCATATCTGTTTTATTCAAATGACTTACATCAGTAACGTGAATTGTTTCTCACTTTAAGTTTTAAATGAGTAATTTAATTATACATTTATTAAATCTAATGGGTTGTGATTGCCACGGAACCAAGTAAACTTTTCTTAGCCATACATTTCATCAGATAATGGGATAATTTCATACATATATTTACAATTTTAAACCATTTCCAACTTGACAGTTTTGTAATACATTCCATTCAGAAATTATTTCAAGTATAGTGACTAATCAGTCAGTTATAATTAAGTAACATGATAGTTTTAAACAATTTTATGCTTTAAGTACTTTGACACATGTTGATTAGCATATCATATACATAAATTTCTAACAACGAAGAGGCTAGGCTGTTCATACCGGTTGATACGTCATTGGTTTGGCACAGTGCTGAGATTCTATAAGTCGTATTCCGATCGGCAAATAAGTTACATGATATTAAACCGGCTTAAAAGTCAGAACTGAAGTCAGTAAGTCAGTTGTATGCAATGTATAATCTAATATATGTTCATCGATTCAACTTTCCACACAAAATTAGCACAGAGGGATGACATTAAAAATCATAATACAACAGTAGTAAAAGTAGTTGACTTGGCCGCCACTATCTTCTTTCAGCCTACTCCTACACTATAGTATGCTGCTGTAGAGTTAGGCGGTGGTTAGGCATGTGATACATTAAATAACGAGAGAGACAGGTAGATAATTTGTGAACAAAACAAGATATAACTGATCATTACTATCATAGTATCAACAAAGAATTGTATACACACCACTTACTTGTTTCATTTTCCATAAAAATATCCCGTAAAAAATTCTGCCTTACTCCACATTGAATAGAAACAGACACAGGATTTAATGGATATGTACAAATACGTGACGATGAATAAAGATCTTCTTTGTTAATATTCATAATAGATTTTCGTGAAGCTCTTAAATCGGGCAGAGATATTTTACGAAGTCCCACTGATAATTCTTCTATTTTTAAATTATTCAACTGATTTTTCGCTATTGTACTAGTGATATTAGTGTTGGTATTAGTTAGTAATTCTTGATTTAATAATACTGAAATAGATGAAATACGACGTTGGGTACAAACAGTTGTTCGACGTGCAATAGAATAATCTTGACGACATTGTAAACATAGTTGACTTTGAGGATCAAGTTTTTTTTGTGAATTAATTCGAAAATTTGGTGAATAATCAAGAATGGGTGGGTCCAGACTGATATCTAAACAATTTTTTTTAAATACAACACAAACATACGTTAGCTTAATGTAACTTTTGTGTAAAGCATAACTTCAGTGAAGAAATGCAAACAACCAATAGTTATAATATTCGCAAGCATTTTGTACAATGCATCTCATGATGTTGCCTGTGAGCAGTAACAGGATGATAATGGACAGCTTCTGATAACTGGTAAGTACGAGTAAGGTTGTAACATTGGACCTTGAGAATTTTTCGTTTGAGTGCTTTTCCGGATAAATAACCGTCGCTACTCGGTATAGACCGATGGTTGGTATTAAGTTGCAAAAGCTTTCATTTATTAAGTACAACAGTGTTTCATTTGTCATTGTCATGAATTTCAAAAAACAATACTAGTGGTGAACTTTCACGAATCGATCATTCAACAGCTATTCAATATATATATATATATATATATATATATATATATATATATATATATCGTATTGAGAGATTTGAAGTGTTTATCACTGAATTAGAGTGACACAAGATCAATAGGGATAAAAAAGTATCCATATACTTGAATAGATATTGAATGATGATTATTTACAAGTAGTAGCACATTGAGACAATAGAAATTTATAAATAAAATCTTAAAAATCAGCTTGCAAGTAAGTGCTATGAATATTAATGGGATAAATTAGGAAGGAATTAGTGATCACAAATGATTAATCACATTTAAATTCACTAATTAATCTCCCAGTAGGACCAAATGAAGATCACAACTGCTAGTTTGCTTTATTGAAAAATTCCTATGACCTTATTGTCATTCATAAAACCTACTAACTATTGAAGATCTAAGGAGTACTGTCAGAATGTGATTTTGGTTCCATTTTATCTTAAATTTCAAGCGTTACCCATTTTGAAAAGTTTTGGATCGACAACTTACATTCTGTTGTATATTTTAGAGTAATATAGCAGTGATAATTTGTAATCGTTTTATGTATTTTTATACATTTCCACTGTTAACTAGCACCTCCTCATTAAATATCCTCTTCGAAGAAAACCAGTGAATCTCATAGAGATGCCGATTTCAAATACTAACAAATATAGTGATTTGAAATAAGCATTGAAGGTGACTAGTTTTACTCGTTATACATATAAGTTACCTATCAGAATATTAGATAGATTTTTAAAGGTGAATAAACGATTTATTCATGAACTTATGTATTCAGAAGTCGTATTTTTATCATTGTTTATCAAACACTTCAAATTGTTCTCAGTAAAAATCGATCTATAAAAGAAATACAAGACTAACCTATCCAAATATTATTTGACCAGAGAAGGCCAGCAGCAGAGCCAGAATTAAGGAACGGATATTCATACCAAGGTTTAAATAATGATGTTGACAAAGCTTCATTAGCAAACCATTTTGGATCTATTCGACATTCATGTGCTGGTAAAATTATTCGACCATATCGACGAAAATAAGAACATAAATATGAATTTTCATATTGCTGAGATTTTTCTGATTTACAATCAGATTTCCAACGAGCTTGAACACGAGAGTACCAAAATATCTGTAGAATAGAAAACAAGAATTAAGATTAGAACAAAATAAATAAATGATAGTAGTAATCGATCTGTGCATATATATAGGTAAAATTATGAAATAATTAACTTCTTTTAATCCGTTATCTACTTTAGTTAATAATTAAAAAAGGACATTTCATTATTCTCTGTAACCAAAGGAAATGTAGGTGATAGTACAAATGTATGTCTATTTACACTGACACGTTGCGTTGCAAATCAAGGCGGTGAAAGGTCAATCAAAGGAATACAATCATATCATTAATTTCAATGGGAAAGTAGGTATTTGAAATAGTTAGATAGGTATCCATACAGTTGCAGAATGTGAAGTACGAAATAATGATTAGTTCAAGATTGATGGAAAAATCAGATACATTAACATCAGTGTAATTGAATTTGATTCGTGCCTTCTAGAATCTTTAACTGTTGATTCGGGATTATGGAATAAGTTTTAACAAAAGTCTATACAGAATAGCATGAATTCATTTTTATTTCGTTGGTTCCCGTCAGGTGCTTACAACCTGTGATATTTAAAGTCATAATTACATAATGGGTTTAAATTACTTACATGAAAGAGTTTGACTGGATGTTATATTGAAGACATATTCGTATAGTACAGGGTGTAGATAAATTTATAGACTGAATATTGTAAATATATACCTTATGTGATGAAAGAACATTGTGACAACAGTTCAAACGGCTAGAAACAAGTAAACATTGATAGGAATAAAATGAGTAGAGTTCGAGATGGTGGAGAAGATTTGTAGCTCAGGTGGATGATTTCGGTGGTGTTTTGTTCTCTGAGCTGGATGGTTTGGTCGTGGAGCTTTCATCGTTCTTCTGAACGACATCATCAGCACAAACTTCAGATGCTGAGTAGACTTCAGTTGATAAAATAAGATCATTAATTTGGAAGGTAGTTGGAGTAAAACTCAATGATGTGATAAGTGCAAGAAAAAGTTGAAAGAAAAAGAAAAAATATTAAGATACAGTGAAAGAATATTAGTCACCAAGGCAAGGAAAGATTAATAACCATCTCCTTTTGAACACATAAATCAGGTTTTTGGCATCTGATAGCAACTGATTCAGCAAACTTCAGAAGACTGGAGTTTGGCTGCTTACTAACCACCTTGAATTATTGTAGGGTATCGACCTGATGTCCAGTATCAAGGAGATGTTTGGTGATTGCACTATTTAGAGTCTTTCTTCCTCTTGTTCTGAGAAAGAAAGACTCCAAATATATTCGCCGTAAAATATAAGCAACCTATGGTAGACTTCTACTTTCAACGACCGAACTCCATAGCCGTAACGTACGACGAAGCCAACTGTTAAAAACGCATGCAAGCTATTGATAATAATATAGATACTTTTGGCTACATAGAGGACACTTTTCAGGCACTTCTTCGACGTAATAACTTTTAAAATAACCCCTTTTAAGATATTTTTTGACAAAAATGTGTTTTGATTAAATAACATTACAGGGAATTACTGAAATAATATTTATTACAGGGGATGTGATATTACTTTTATATTTGATTCTAAAACACTGCCAGGTACTTCAATTTCCACAGGAATAGGAATACCTGATTCATTCGATTTTAACCGTTCTGAATTGATAAGTTTTGTCATTTTGTTACTGAACACTAAGTCACTAAATCCAATAAGTGGTAAACGGATTTGATGTGTAGTTTTCAAATTATCCAAGACATCTTCTGTACAAGAGTTTAAAACAGGAGAACTCGGTGAATTCGAAGTTTTTTCAGATACGCCATTCGATAGTTCAGTAGAAGATAGTGATTGCTTTCGTTTAGAACTATTATCTGCTGATTCATTAAATACATGAAATAACCATGGACTAATTAATTGTACTAGTGACCTCGACTGTTGTTTATTAGACCAATTTTCTTCTAGTTCTATTTCGAGACGATAATGCAGGAGATGATTAGGTTCTATCAATATCTATTAAGAATGTAAAAAAAATTGTAGAAGTTTGAATGTATTATGCCAATAAGTTTTAACATTACAGAACTTGATGAAAATCGAATATAATTAAAACGAGAAAAATCATGAGTGAACAAACACTATACGAGAACAATGTAGTTGTTTAACGTTGAAAGTCGAGACGATACGATAAATCCTCTCTTCAGATAAAAGAAAAATTACTAAGGGAAAGATTTAAAACATTGAAATCAATGTTTACTATCTTTTTCAGAAAAAAATTGTAACCTGAAAACATACCTGAGGTAGAAATGTATGTGATAAGTTTGTTTCGACAGAGCCATATAAAAATGATTCAGCTTGAATTTTTTCCCCAAATAATTTTGTCATTTTATTTTTCTGTAAGTAATATTCATTTGTTAATGGTTTATCTTCAAAAGTTAACATTAAATCAGATAACTTTAATGGAGCTAAATTTGATGCCAGTAATTCCAACTTGAATCCTAATGAAATTTGACGTGTTAATGATTGATTATTATTGGAAAGTAGAGATGATGATGTATTACATTCAGACGATGGTGAAGATTTAGTTGCATCAAGAGCGTATTCAATTTCTAATTCAATGTAAATCGACTGTACTTGAGTAGGTTTCATTAATTCATTAATTTCAGGGTCTGAAGAAAATCGATCGGTCACAATTTGCCAATACTTATCTGAATCGAATTTCAACCAAATTAAACCAACATGTGTCGCATATAATGGAAGAGAATGTTCATCATAATCAGAATTTATATTTGGTAAAGAATTTGGTACTTCACAATTTTCAACTGGGAGAGGAAACTGACAAAAATAAAATTTTTAAAAGAATATGAAGAAACATGAGACAATGCTATGTCATTAATAAAGTCAGTAGATATTTGTGATATTTTTGGTATTCGAAACAGATTGATCTCAATCGATGTACCGTATAAAACTAGAGCCTAACGGACAGCTTTTGCGTCCTAGTATGGAACTCTCCAGTGATGCCTACCCATGACTCAGTCAGGAATTTGACCTTGAAATACTAATCCTTGAAGTTGACGCAAAAGGATTAGAATCCCTGACCCAGCATTCATTAGTACAATCATAACTTCAATCAACTTGTGATAGAGCACGAAGAGCATCGAATGCCATTGGTGACAACTGCTTCACGTACTGAAATAGAATAGTCTACAATATCTATGCATAAAACGAAGATCTTATGTACAGTTTTTTTTTCAAAGATGTTCATCAGAAGATGAACCAGACCCAGAAAAAACGACAATATATTAGTGATTTGATTTTCCCACGGTTAAAGACAAGATAATCAATTATTTCAACCTTTGTTGACAAACACGCCATATGTAAACATGATTTTATAACTGAAAACTGATTATATTTAACATTTATTTATTACACTAGAGTACGGAAGTTAAAGCAATAAGACTATATTATGAATTATCATATTTTCTACGCGTTTGATTCTAAAACTACTTTATCACGCTCTTGTAAAAAAATTCACCCTAATTATATACTTTCAGTAAATAACAAAACAAACCACATATACGGTAGCACTACCATCGAAATGGGTCGGCTATCGAGATAACGAGCCTGAAAAAACCCTAATACCTCGGTCAATAGTAACTCTGTTAATAACTACATCTCAAGCCCAGTGATTTCGTATGTTACTGATATTGTCATGATCGGAATCACATCACATATGACAATGCATGAATGTAATACCTAATGGACATACATCATCCCTACAAAGAAGCTATGGCATAGATAGTTTAAAAAACAAACTAGACAATGTACACAAACATCTAAGCTATATGGATTCCGAATTGGAGTTGCCTGAGTCCTTCATCAACGTTTGATGCCAAACAAGAAATGTAAGCTTTATGAACTCTAAAGCTATTACTGTCTAAGCACGCAGTTCCTGCTAACTTTGAAGACATTATTAAAGCCGGATCTGTCGTCTACGTTATTGCAAAAGAAGTTGCTAAGAGAATATTCCTTGAAAATAGCATGAATAGCCATAATGTACTTGGCAAAGCCCCACTTAAACCGGTTAGGCATTCGAAACTGAAAGCAACTAACATTTTGGATAGTTCGTATCACTGTTTCCGCTTTAATAAAATGCACCTAAAATTCTCCCGACTTAACTTGTTCAGATTTGATTCACATTTACCTGCAGAACAACTGAAAGAATCTGAACGGTCAATCGGTACACTTTCCAAGTTTATGAATACTTGTATGGTCTTGGATAAGACTACCAACCAAAGACTTACGAAAAAAGGCACCTCAATCAAAAATAATATTACCAGAACATTACTCGTGTTTCTTTAACTACGCCAGGGCCCATTCATGTGAAAAACTTATCTCCCACCAGTCAAAACGCCAATTTATCAAAGAAAAATTTCCGTCATTAAAATTAGATTTTTGTACATATATAACAAACTGCCTTAAGAAAGTAACTTATTCATTAAATATCAGCTTTACTAATTTCATCGCAGTATAATCCTACAGCGTAAACTTATATTGTTCTTAATATTGCTTTCTTACATCGGATATAAATAAACAATTGAGGAAAAACCCTTGAGATTCACCAATCTACCTGATATTCTTTTCCCTATCACATCACAATTTTATTTTTATTGTATTGCATAAAAACTTTAGTACTCATTTGTGCCAATGTTCATGTGTTTAAATAAATAAAAACAAATAATATATTCAAGGTATCAATGAGTATTGGGTGTATGTAAAATAAAACATTCTTGTAATCCATTTAAAAAGTATTCACATACTGAATGAAATTCGTAAAACATTAATTTAAACTTACTCTTTTTCGAATATCTTCTAAACCGATACATTGAATAAAATCAGTTGCATTTAAATTTAACTTGGTTAACAATGATAAACTTGATGAAACTGATTTTAAATTTACATGTAACAAGTTTAGGTTACGTTTAATTGAGTAATTACTATCAAAATCATAATTACTTTCTGGATTATTATTATTATTTATTGAAACATTGAATCTATTTTCATCGCGAATATATAATTCGATGGGTAACCATCTAGTTTCATATGGAAATATAGTTAAATCCAACTAAACAAAGTGAAAAATTCATGTAAAAAAATAATAATTCAGTATATGGATAGCACTATTATTTAGAACAATAATAATCACAATGAGAATATTACATATTGCTAGCATTAGTTATATGTAAAACGAAAGGAGTAAAAAAAGATCTACTCTGATGCAAAGGCAAATGAAAGTCAGATGATGAGTGTATAACGAATTATTAATATTAATGATTTAATGGTAGAGGACATATGTTATTAGGACTTATCCTTAATAACTACGAAATTGATATTTGATATTTAAGTTAACTTTTATCAAGTTTCAACTATATAACTGCTGGTTGACAGTCTTGATACAGTAGTGATTTTGCAATGAAAATATAAACAAATGCAGCAAAATCTAAAGCATTAATGAATTATTTGAAGATATCATAAATCAAAACAACCGTTTCGTAACTGCAAATTAACAAAAAAGAGACGCGCAAAAACTGATAATAAAAAAGTGAGGTAAAGGAAACAATCAACGCTGAACCTCGCTCGAAGATATATGTATCAGTTCGAGTCATCACACTTTGTGACGGCGTGATGAGAACAAACACTAATGTAATGTGATAAACGAAATATACAAAAAGCGTGCCGGAAGAACGAAATACTAGGAATAATCAGAATAGTCAAGAAATGAAAGGCAAATAATGGATATCTCTGCTCCTTTGATAATGACTTGGGACTATCCCATCAAGTGTCACTGCTTTACGCTGTTTTGAAGAGTCCCGATAAACACTTTCACATCTCCCTACTGCCTTATGACATTAGTCAATGGCGCAAACACATGTTATTTTCCCTATCTTTAATCATTTTCCAACCTAGTTGCACTTCAGGTACGAGTGAATGTATCCTTGACACATGGTTCAGCCAGATAAGTCGATGTAGGTTAAAAACCTCACCAATTAACGTGGTTCATCATGCTGAAATGAAACGGAGCAACTTGGATTGTCAAATATCTGTACCAGACTTTACTTCATTTCCAGCGGTCTGACTAATATACAACTTGATACCTAATTCTAAACTTAGGCATTCGAAAGTTTTCCACAAAAGCTTTGTTATGAAGAAACACTAAAATATACCTAGTCTATATGTATCTACTAACATGAAATGGTATCATTGATGGTTACAGAGTTGGAAAGAGAAAATCGATTAGCTATATGGCCTCTCTTTGACAGGCACCATGAGTGAAGCAGATTAGTAAATGCCAAGCAATTATTCTGTATTTGTGCTATGATTTCTTCAGTGAAGGATAAACAAACAAAATAAGACATGAAACAGATAGACTTTCAATAAACAATGAAGGTAACTGCTAATAGTAAGAAAAAGGCTTCACATGTCTAAATTATCACAATATAATATGAATCATACTACAAAGAATTTCAACGATTGATTTTTCTCACTCTTGATTACTTTCGTCACATAAAGCTAGCATGGCTTAGATTACCAACTTGATATTATACAAATAGATTATTTCTGACAACTTGGAGATTTAATGACAGGACATAATTAATAGTGGACTTTAAATGAATATAGTGTAGTGAATGTGCAAAGCTATAAACAAAACATTGTGAATTCTTAAGTAAACAGAGTTACAGTTTTTCATCAAGTTGCTAAGATCTGTTCAAAATATTGAAAATTTCATGCAAATTTGATGAAAGCTAATTAAGGATCACGGATACTAAGAAGGTGAAAAAAAAAGGTTTCTCTATTCGAACATTCTGAAAAATTCATTGTTACACGATTTCGAAAAGAACAAAAAGTCCAGTATTTCACCTAAATGTCTACAAGATTAAGCTAAGTATTATTCAATTGTCTGTCATTTTAAATGAATTTCGCCTGGAGTTCACAACACAATTTTTGATAGAATTATTGAGGATTTCAAATACCCAGGAAACCACCGGCTTACTGATTGTTTTGTCTTTATCCTATAACACTGAGTTTCTATTTTCAGTCGAGCCAAAACTAATCACAGGAACTATCCTTCATTTTTACTCCATCCAAAGATTATATTTTCTCAATGGTCTACGATTCTTTCAAATATTTCCAACTCCACTGTACGCGTATGTTGTTTGCCTAAATGAATTCTCTATAGTCTCTATTATGTAACTTTTTCTTGGAAGATTTGTCTTTTAGAGTACTCGGAGCTAAAATAAGAAAAGGTGTCATAGTGTTCAAGTATCGAAGGAAAATATGGATTTGTAAAAGACAGAGTATTAATTGCTATTTAAGTGAATAAGATTACGTCTGGTCAATTTATAGTAAATTCAAATATCTAGGTCAAATTCGTTTCTTCATTTTGTAGTATCAATGCCATTTTAGAGCCGTAAGTTGAACACCAACGCTTTTATCCACGTATTTCAACTACTACAGAGATTGACTGAAAATTGATTGTAACTTATTATACATTATCTAGTGGCTGATAACCATGAAACATTAGCAAAATATTAATTTATGACACAGTTAGCACCAGTGTAGCAATTTTGATGGAAAATAATTTGACTTGAAGCTTACCACAGCAGCTACACGATTACACCATTCTGAAGGATCAGGGACATGAAATTTTGATAGACCAAGTGAATGGAGTTGTTTCGTAACATCACATGAATGTTCACTAGCTGATTCATTTCGCAATATATCAACAGCTTCATTTAAATCGAATGCGCTGCAAATGCGACCTGGAAACATACACATTCGTGGCATTGCAGGTTGTAATCTAATAAGTGGTAATAATGAAAATTGTATTCCCAATGAATTCGATAATAAATGTTCACTATCAAATTCAGATATATTTGAAATACCATTAGGACATATAGGTTCCGAACCTAAATTCCATGAAGATCGAATAGTTGAAAAAGTAGATGATGAAGAACCACTCGGATGTCTTTCACGTCCTCTACTAGATGATTCCCCAAGTGAAGACAAGGAATAAAGAAATTTTCCAGATGGTCTAAGGCAAACTCTCATTCCACCACAATCGACTAGACGATAAGTAATGCCAACAACTCGATACTTTACAAATAATAGTAATAATAAACAAGAAAAATAAATATAGTCAGTGAATGATAAAAGTTAACTATTTAATATGATGGACAAGATATTATATAAAATGATGGATATGATATGATCTAACTAAATGATAGGATTCTTTTCACTTTTTTGAAGGTTGATTAAATTAGTAAAGATTTAAAAAAATTAAGTTTATGAAAAAGAGTTTATTTCACATTATTGAGAAACTAAACGCTCATAACACGACAAAATGAACTTTCAATGAATATTCTATTTTGAGTTATATAAATACAAGAAAGATATTATTTCTGTTTTTAGGCTTAAAATAGAATAAACAGAATGGTTTTAAACCAGTAAACCGAATGAAGAGACAGTCAGTCATGTAAATCGACTGTTAAGTTGGAGGTCTGAAGAACTTCAGAAATGCTATAACTTTTTACTTATTTATATTACCTTAAAATAATAATCTATTGAACTTTTCATCAGGGTTTATTTGAATGAAACAACTCAAAATAATAAACAACATCACATAACCATTAGAATTAATAAAAGTAAAAAGGAATAGTAATATGTGGACATTATTTATACGTGAGAGAAAATACTTACATGTAAACATGTATTTGAATCATCGAATGAAGTACTTGATGTTAACAAATCTAAAGTTGGTACTACACCAATCGACAGTTTAATTCCATTCGTATGAGATGGTAATCTGCAGTTTACATCTGAATTAATTCGTCTCCAAAAGCATTCTGTATTGGAATAAGGAAATTGTCTATGCAATTCAGCTTCTTCTAAAAGACAACCGCTTTCCAGACGACCATAGAAGCCATTCTGTATTATATTATAAAACCCAATAAATTACATCAACAAGTATATAACATTGTAATATATTTTATATGTAAATTATGTAATAAAAAGTTTGATGAGAATGTAATTAGATTGCGTAACTGACTACTCGACGTTAAAATGACTGAAGAATTCTCGAAAAATCCGGGGGATTACTAGCAAACCAACCAGCTAGTACTGAACCAATGAATATTTGGACTAAGCAAGATAGGCGTTTGAAAGAACACTTGAAACAACTTCAATGACCTACTAGATGTTATATGATACTGCTGGAAAATAGTAACGCACATTCCTGAGCATGGGATAACAAGTGAATGAATACAGGTTACCAGAGATGAAAAGATGAGGTAATATATTGAACATCTTTAATAATTGGTTACATTTACAGCATGCCGTTCACTACTTTCATCATTAATTTGTTACAATATCTGTAAATAGAAACATTAGGAATGAATAATATTTTACACTTAAAAGGTGTACAGAATCGTAACCTTAATGCTCGGTTTGTTACTACCATCTACATGATTAACTAATTTTATTCAAGATATCATTCATAAACATAGTATATTTATTGCAAATTTTATGAACAATATGCATTCAACCAGTAAGTCAAGTATCTTGAAACTTAGAATTTCTACAATTAAGATTTGTAGGTTGATTTTGTGAGGCGTGTAACCATTTGACCAACAAATTCATTCTGATAATTTTATCAGTGAATTAAAGTGTCCTGACATAGATAAATGCAATGAAGTCACTTATTTTCTTTGCTTTCTCTCTGTCTTGTAAAAGGAAATATAAAATCTTAAACTTCATTACAGAATTACTGTAAACAATTGTATCAAGTATAGTAGGTCTTTTCAAGAAAACAAATGTTACAAAATTCATTAATGAAAACAAAATGAATGTAATGATACCTCTTTTGTTTGATGTTTCACATTTCCAAGATCAAGATTACTCAAATGTGAAGTGGGTAGTATTTTAACTGATTGTGGAGTTTCCACAGTTAAAAATATTGCTTCTAAATGAATTAGGTTTGATAAAGCATCTGAACATTCATTGTTTACAGTAGAACCACCACCAAATGATGATTCATAATCGGAAGTCAATAACGAAACACGATTGGATGATGATTCCTTAGTCGATAATCCAATATTAACTGGTATCAATTCAACATGCTGTAATTAAATCGTTGAAAAAAAAAACAATAGTAACAATTACGTACATAGATGGATAGTGTCTAACAGTCGAATTTAAAACGCATGTTTCGTCTCACTTGAGACTAGTCAGCTGAATATACATGCATTACAGAACTGATGCTTACTCCGGGACTTTTGAACCCATTATCATTCGCATCAAACTTTATCGCGTTAACCACTTATCTACTGAATCCAGATAGTCATTCGCTTGTGTCATTCAAACAACTAATAAAAATGAATGCGAACTATTATTATTACTATTACTATTACTATTATTATTATTATTATTAATACATTGGAGATAAGAATAATATCAAAGTAAAGAAAAATACTTTTTACTAACAAAGGAAAAATGATCGAAGCTTTTAAGATTTTATAGTTTTATACTGTTCAAAATTATTGGATAGAGTAAGATGAGTATGATCAATGCTATCTGACAGATTCATTCTAAAATATTTCAAAGAATAAAACATGATGTTGTGACATACTTTTTAGAAACATTCATAAATGAATAATTTATAGATATACACAACATCATAACCTATTTCAAACTAGAATGTCATTAAATATTCTACATTATAATAATTAAATTATTTGTATTATTATTCATTATGAATATAACCATTACAATGAATTATTTTATATGTAAACTGAGAAAATTGCAAGTTCTTTAATTCAATTAACCGTGTATTATTGATTTCGCTTTAATAACATTTCTTAAAGCATATTGTTAGTTTCATAATTTAGTTTATTAAAACTAAATAAATTAATGAAAAATCATAAGCTTTGATTTAGTTTAGGTTAGTTTGAAAGTCAATTTAGTTCTAGATTAAACAACAATAATCATATATCTAATGAAGACTATATATACAACTTTATATGACCAACTCAGACGTGAATAAGAAAATAAACATGTAAACATACTAAGATTTTCTAAATTCACTCTTAATCGAATAATTTCTTATATTTATTTTGTACTCTACTAATAGATCATTTATAATGCGTCATTTTCTAATGACATGATTATGTATTATTTCGAATAGCACTAAAATATATATTAACAGTTAAGATCAAATTTGAAGTTGTAATTCTTCAACGTATCTCTAACATTAATTGTTTCTGAACGGTCAGGCCACAAAGTTTAATTGAAATTGAAAGTAATGTGGTGAACAATGCTTCATCATAATCCCTGATTATACTTCTACGAATGCTATCCCAGATGCGAATAGTGTCAAATTTTACCATTTATTGAGTGTTTTCATAACCAAGTGTATTCGATGGATATTGTGGTGTTGACTATCAACAGAATATCACGCACACATTGTTTAGTTCATACGAAAAAGTACATTACACAAAAAGCACTTACTAAATCAGATATTCTTAAATCAACTGGGAGCTTGTTATCAACTATCATTTCTATGTATCCAGGTTCTTCACAAACCCAATCGATTACTTGTAATAAAAAAACCATAAAAACAATCAGTGAATGGAACAAAAGTTGAAGATGGTATGAAAAGGTAAAAAAAACTACGTGTTTTTTAATGGACAATTCAAGCGCTTTATACTCTTATATTAATTAGTAATTAAATTGAGCATGAGTTCCATTATTTTTGCGAAAGACTAGACCCCAATAAAAGTGAGGTTTGATATATACTCTGTTCAAACACTATATCATTATCTACTGAGTAAATAAGAAATGATAATTATCATTACAGTGACATAAATATTTTTATGGCATGGTTCGTATTTCTGAATAATGATTTTGAATTGATCAACATTCATAGGGATTCGGATGCATTTCTCGATATAATTTGTTCCACTTTCATTACGACTTTATTTCGTAACTTATATACCTCTGAAAAATAGAGTTTGTGAAGGTTTAATTCAAACAGAGAAATGTCTGTGTAATTGCCCACAATAAAGTTGCTTGTGAATTGAAGTTAATTTAGAGGTGACATAGGTAAATCACTATCATATTGAACTACATGTCGATAAGTTATTCAAGACAAGGATAGTTTGGATTTGAGTTCAAATGAATCCTAAAAGTATTTCAATAACCCGACAACATATGAAATACCTTCAAAGCTTAAAAAACCTAACCAATTTTGTACTTAGAAAATGTATATATTCAATTCTGAATTCCAAAATCAGTAACCATAATGTACATAAAAATGTAAATCAATATATTATTGAAACAAGCTATGAAAAATTGATCATATTCAACATCATATTGTAGAATATTGAATCCAAACGTATATTTCTCATTAAATAATTGTTTGTTTATTTTAAATTTCACATGACTGATAGACAAATTAAGATTAGCAACTGAATAACAATTAATAATCTTATATATGTCCTCAAAACTGACTACAACAGTAAAGTATAAGATACTTTCTTTCCATGGTATAAAACTACAAAATGATAGAGATTTACTTTATTAAGCCACAACCTTGTTACTCACATGATACAAAAAAAACACAAATGACATACTACATCTACATACATATACATATATTCCATTATCAAGGCGCAGCAGAAATTCAATCTATGGTGATCAAAATAATCTCAAAGACGTCCAATAAATTATACGTCAAAATAGCGTATTTCTGATGATTAATGGATGAATGAACAAAAACAGATTCTCCTATTATTCAAATAAATAATAATGTTAGTGTTGTAGAGGAAATAGGTTACGCAGACTGTTGAAATTTGTCGTTTTAAACAGCTTATGGTGTGAAAATACAAACAATAATGTATTGCATATACACTTTGCTATGACAATCCTTTAATGTTACAGAAAATGACAAAGAAAAATTTCGCTTTAATATACAGAGACTTTTTTTGAGTTGGACCACTTATTAAGTAGAATATTTATAACAATTTGTATGTGGTTATTTCAGAGAATAACATGAGGTTTCTTAGTGCATGATGAGAAAAGTTAAAATAATAAAGATTATTAATTTCGAATGAGTGTGTAGTGTATTGTGAAAAGTATAAAGATATCATAGTTATGCACAGTTATTTCAGCAAATACAAACATGCCTTTCGTAAGAGGTGATATGTTTAACATCACAGCATAAATCAGTTTCCCAAACAATTATAAAAATTTTATAATATGGATGTACGCCAAGCAGAATAAAAGACATCAACACAACAGATAAAACTTATGGATATGGAACAAATGAGGTAAAGAATCATGATCATTTAGTAAATGTCACCACCATAACCAACTGATAAACATTAAGTTGAATTTAGAAGGAACACTTAGACAATCAGATATTCATATTTTTGTGTTCGGTTTGCCGTCATACACACACGCATTTTCTAAATTACTATACACGACAATTAGAGATCAGTTAAATTATAATACATGTTTAAATGCGTGACATAGTTGGCTAAACGTTTATATGTAGATCACCAACTGAGCTGCGTTTCTACTCTAACCAAGAAATGCCTTGTGAAAAAAAGTGTACGAGTCCGTGAATGTTTGAAAAAAAACAAATGTAAAATCAACTGTGAAATTAATTCAAAGAATAACACATACTCGAATGTTTAGTTGCACTAGAATTATCCATTTGAAAAGGATTATAAACAAATGGATCAGTGGGTTTTGATGATTCTATATTGTTGTTAGATTCCGGTGGTTTTGATTTATTTCGATCTGATCGAATAATAACTGTACGAGATCTATTCAATGAAACTACATTCTCCGCTCCGTTTTTAGAAATTGTGTGAGGTAACAGATTACTTGGCAGTGAAGGTATATTGATCAATCTTAAAATGAGAGTAAAAAATGTAATACGATTATTTATGAACTTAAGCAGTAACTTACATATTTCAAAACCGTAATTATTGTTCAATTACACGTCACTCATGAAGTATGTTACTTACGAGTAGTTGCAAAGACAATAAAAATTGATTATTCAAAGTCTCTAAAATGATTTGGGGAAAATAATTGAATAACTAGGTGATAAACTTACAAATTGCATTTAGCCATCTAACAATATGAACCACCCAGTGACCGATATTATCATTATAAAGTTCGTAAAAGCTGCGGTAAGGTGATCTAAAAATGCGTTGTCTCAAAACTTAGATAGGAAAGTATACCATAGGAAACAAATCCATCTGTTTCAGAAACCATATCAATGCAGGTTTACAGGTGTACAAAGATAGTTTTCTGAGAGTGAGTTATGTGAATAGATATACAAGAGATCGAGTGTACACAGTATTTGAAGGTCACTTACATCTTAACTCGTTTTATTAGCACTACAAATTAATCTCAATGACGATGTATCAGATAAATTTTCTGAATCGAATCATTAGAATATCGCTGGTTAAATCATTTTTGAAATCAAACGATAGCTATCAACAAATTTATCGTTTTTATGGATAAGAAGGATTCTCAGTAGTGATATACTGTTCTCACTCTTTAGATTGAAATTAAATAGATGATCATTTTTCATCCCATTATAAAGCAAAGTCAAACTTTGATAATGGTTACATCTTACAAATTTTAGATTGTCGGAGAAAAAAAACTGCTACATTGACTTATATGTAATTAAATTAAATAAACAGTATTGTAATGTGTTAAATAATTCATAAGGTGGCTGAATGTACTTTGGAAATTTTTATTCTCTTCTGATAGTAATTTCGATTCAGTCACAATTCAGTTACTAAGTCCAAGTTTTCATATTTGCCCCCATTCTTAAAGATAAGTAAGCGTGTACGGGGGTTGGGGTGGTGAGGTTAAAATATTTGATTCAATGGTTAAAAGGCAGATACTTAGATTATTTATATAGAGATATATCTGACAATAAAGTTTAATACATATGTTGACAGGCTACTAAAAGCAATCAATAACTGATCAATAATGTCCTATGTATTTATGAGAAGGGCCATTAGTATATGATCAATTGAACCTAAAGTTGAATGCTAAAACTTTAAGGACTGCATAATAGATTAAATTATGATTTTAAAGATGGAAAAGCAATATTAAAGTCTGTTATTTGTTTCAGAAGAAAGTAAGGAGAGTAAAACAAAAAAATAGTATCGTGAAATCGCAATTAATTTTTAAAAATGACACTTAGTCAGTTAATCATAAGCAACGTCGAGCCCGGTACATAAGTGCGTTGGCTCGACTTACCACATCAGGACGATTAGATGAAATTAAGAGGATAAGTAGCAAATGAATCGAACCGATGCAAAATTAGTAATAGTGGAAAATATTCTGAGACATCACAAAATATCCTCAACCATTGACCGCTTATCGCGTAGACTCTGAAAAGGTAATCAAACAATTTTATTGGGTTGATAGAGTTACCCAAATATTCTCCAGTATATAACTTAAATTTCAAAAATATTACATGACAAAACTTTTGTACGCACTATTGCACATATACGATTTTTAAGAAAAATATCTTACCTAACTAAGGGCAACTGATGCACTGGTATTTCTACCAAATCTAACATTTTATTCTCGACCACTTTCGTCTGTACTTCTTCATTGTTATTATTCATTAAATAACAAAATCTACTTGGTGAATAAACTACACGACGATTACGAGGCCATCTACGAGAACGGACATTTTCTTGAGTAGAATAATTTAATAAAGTTATACTAGGTAAATTAGTTGGTTGGTCTGGACAACGAAGTACCGCTAAACAGCATAAATCATCCATACAAGATATACAACTACTTTTTTCTAGATATTCAGGCCAACTGTCCAGTACAGAGAAACAGTATCTACAAATAATTTTTTTTTGAAAATAAAAGAGTAGTCTTAGACAGATATGGATGAAGTGGTAGCTCATCAAATGAAAACAAATAAACAGAATAGAAATACATAAAAAGCAATACATTATGATACCAGGAGTGAATATTTAAATTGTTTCATAATGATCACTGTGAAATAGATGATAATACTGGGTAATATTTGTGTATGTACATACGGAAGAATGAAAGCAAGAACTAACGTTTTTCTCTGAATCAAACAAATTGATCGATGACCCTGTGTTAAGACTAATGGTTGCTACCTGGTCCAGTAGGTTAAGCGTTCGTGCGCAAGACCGAAGGCCCTGGGTTCGAATCCCGTGAACAGCACCGCGGATAATCACTGTTAGCCCCAAAATGCCCTAGTATGGCCGAGAGTGGAGAGAGTCCGCTCTCCCTCTCGAAATGCTCTCACATGGCCATGCGTATATAGCCTCCGCCAGGGAAGTCCTACTCATTGCCTTCTCGTGGCGGTGTTTTTTACGAAATTGAGAGAACGAAAAGCGAATATCTGACGCTTTAACCGGATTAATGGACATGGAGAGTCCACCTAGGGAAGTTGGAAAACCCTGATTCCAAACCAATGGTGAATATGGGCTCCAGTACCCTGAGGGAACAAATGGCGTATGAACCAATTATTGGTCACCGGCTACCATGGGACTGCATCTCCTGACGTTTCTCCACTGCCTTGTGGATCAGACCTTCAGGTCGAAGGCTCGGGGTGCGGCCCCCTAAGAAAACCACCTGTTTCGGTTCGGGCACCCAAACAGTATCATAACCCTCGCATATATCAAATGAGATTTGTGAGCACATATGTATCTGGTGCCTCCTTGTACCAATATTTATGTGTTAAAATAATAAATAAATAAAATGCTGCCTGAAACCTTACACATGAATAAAGCCTCCATAAGATTTTCCACAGTGAATACGAATCCCCTTGATAATTATCGACGACCCCTATAGTATTTTTTATGACGGGAAAGATTTGGATAAAGTAGCATTTAATTTATTGATCTATTTACCAAAAATATGAACAAGAAATTTAATGTGAGTTTTTGAATATTATATCAATTATTTCGCATACAATACCTAACTACTTCATTCAAGAAAGACTACGCCTATGATTTATCCTCCAGTGCGTTTCTACAAAGTGCTGTTAGGATATACCTTTCTTTATATCACTGTTTTCGAAACTCGTTTTCAAACAGTTGATCAAACTCATTAATTAAATTGACTAGTTGATGATTAGAAATATATATTGTAATCTTTAAAACAAAATGCCAATAAATGAAATTTTATTGGATAGTCAAAGGTTTTCAATAGTACACATTGCACGAACTATATACTTGATATTTCTATTAATGTAAATAAGATATCAACGTTTCCATATACATTTTCACATTAATCAGAAATAAACATAAAAAATACACGGTAGAGTTTATAGAAACAATTTTCATTCTATAACCTATATGGGAGTGTTGAGTGTTTAAAAGAAGTTGAAAAACTTTAAAGTTAGGCTTACTCTGTGCAGAAACCTATGATTATGATTGACGTAGAACTGTGAGAAGATAATTATTTGCTTTACAATCTTATTAGTACAATAGTAACAAACAGTTGGTGACATATTAAAGCATTTTATTCAAAAGACCATACTATATGTACAATAATACTTTGTAAGTAATACTTTATGTATAAGAAGTGTATAACTTAATGGCTTAACTGCTTCCAAGTATAAAGCACGCTGGCGCGTTTATATATATATATATATATATATATATATATATTATATAATATATATATATATATATATATATATATATATATATATATATATATATATATAATGAATCAAAATTTAACAATTCACAATTGTACTTTTTCATTTACCCAATAAGTTTTAATCCAATATCCCATGGAATTTCAGATATATCTTCCAGATTAATTTTTGCTTTATATTCATTAATTAAATAAAATATGACTTTCAATTGTAAATCACACCAACCAACTAAACGGAATAGTAGACATGATTTTGATGAATATAAACTATTGGAATTAGAACTCATGTTTGAATTAATATGACGTGTATTATTAGACATGGATTTTAATTTAATTATATTATTAAATATACTGGTTGAAAGCGTTGATGAATTTGATATCGTTGTGGTGAGACGAATTAACCAATGTGATTGATCAGGTATAACAAATGGACTCCATAATGGGGGATTCGCAATTAAACGATAGGTGACGTTTACTGGTGGTTTATTTTCATTTATTAAATAGCTTAAATCTTTATTAGTGATGTTATTACTATTATTAGTAGTAGTAGTAGTATTAATAGTAGTATCGTCATCACCATTTAGGAGTTTCGTTTCAGTCATTTGAGTAATATTCGGTGAAAGTGATTGAATTTTTAAACCATTAAATAAAATTTCATGCTCAAATTCAACACGGTTCAGTCGATTTGATGATAATAAAAGCCATAGGGCTAAACTAGCCTTACGATTGAAATTCATCAATTTATATAAACGAACAATAGTGAAATAACGTTTCATTGAACAAGGATTCTAAGATAAATAGAAAAGACAGATGGAAAAAAAAATGAAAACCAAATATCGTTAAGTCAAAATGAAAGCCATATTATAGATACACCTTGATCTCGAATCATATTTACGATGCTTAGTCTTTCTCACTGTCATTGTTACATCGTAATTCGCTAGTCACCTTACGAATTTAATCTCGTTGCGCTACTATGGTATAGCAAATCCGGGTAACACAATTTATTTAAAGCTCTATATTGATAATGACTGATTGACTACTTGATCATTGGAAAGAAACCGATTGATAATATTGTTAACTATCCAGTAATGTATTGGACGTCTCAGCTGGTTTACGTTAGCTGAAGATTAAGTAATTATATATAAATCTTTATTTGTCACATTTTCATTTAGTTCAAGATAATTATTGAACAATATGCAATGCAATTAATTAGAATTAATTTAGCAGGTATAATGGTTGATTAAAGGGCTAATAATAATGTGTTATTCAGTTCCGCTGTCAAAAGAAAAGATGCTGTTAACAAGCATTTTCTTATTAGATTATGAAGTACATCAATTATGTAAGGACTAATAACATCACTTGTCTATCTGTTCACATTGTATTACACGTACAATATATCCTACTAGAACTGTTATATGATCATCAAAAATCAAGTATTCATACAAAAAGGGATAAATAAATTGATTGAATGTTAAATTTTATTTCTTAATTGGTTAATAGATTTAAGAAAACTCTAATATTATTTTATGATTTAAATTAAAATAGTCAAGTTTAAAAGTATTACACAATAATGAAATGGAAATTAACTGACATTACTGAGCAAAATTAACTTAAGTTTCATTGTTATAGCGTTGTTATGATTTAAGAGTTTTAAATATACATACATTGTTGTTATTAGTTAGCTAGAAGAAAAGTTGTGCACGCTATCTTGAATCCATATATCTTTTGACAATGAATTGATCTCCAAGAAAATCTCGGAAATTTAATTTTACTTAAGACAAGATATTTAAACCTAAACAGTTGCGTGAATTTACATGGAGACATGTTATATGCGTAAAACGGATGGTATTCGCTGAGGATACTCGGTGTGTCTATTTTTGATTAGCCCCATCATGTAAGCATTGATGTACCATTGATGTCGTTCATTAGTGACTCTGGAAGGATCGATTTCTTGCTTATGATGTGTTTTAAATAGACCGATAGTGAAAAATCACCGATCTCATCATTAACTCGGGCAAAAACCTAAGGATTTCTGCATATGTCTGGTAACAAACTACTATAACTGTGTGACGGCAGCAGATTAGAGGGTAGCGAATTACTGATCGGACCAAAGACGCGCAAACACGTAGAACGGCCTAGGGTTCTGATTGGTCCCGCTTCCCTGTCTAGCCCAGCCGGTTGAGTCCAGAACACAAGTCTCAGCCACTGCGATATGAATCATTATATTTCAAACACACTCTGTTTATATACTAATCAAGCAGACCATATCGTACCATAAAATAGAAAATAACATTGTACAGTATTGACCAGTAGGAAAATGACACGTTAAATGAATATTGACCAATGAGGAAATAATACCATCTCCAAGTCCAAGAATAGCATTAGACTTAATAGAATAATTTTTGGGATATTTTCCTGAATATCCCAACACAAACATATGAAAGTTGATACTCCAAAATTATTCTATACTGATATTTATATGTAGTAACTGAGATCATAGATGACTTTGCTTAAATTAGGAACTTCACCAAATACAAGGGGTATTATATCCTTACAAGCAATCTTTCTTTTATATATTATTATTAATGAAGTAATTGCTTCTATGGATTTGGTGGTCATCTTATGCTAATGAGGTGTGGTAACTTAGACCGATGGCCATATGCCTGGCCCTGCGTTGTAACTGACTGACTGACAACAGGCCGGTCGTCGATAAAATCGATCTTTAAATCCTGAAGATCTGATAATAAATAACTTCTTTATTCTCTGACTTATTTTACCTAATCCCAATAACTATCGATGTTATATGAACCTTTTTTTAAGTTTCTTCCAATCTCAACTATCCAACAATCAAACAAACAAATCATATTACAATTTTTTGAACAATAATCACTGATTGGATAATTTCATATTTCACAAAATCTTTTAGTATAGTTAGACAATTAAGTAAAATAACGCACTGAAAAACAGTAAACTACCTCAGTACTAAACGAGGAAAGAGATGGTCCAACCAACGAATCAAGAATTTCACAAGCTTTACGCTTTTGCTAAAAAAAAGCGCAGATGAAAAAGACTTTATTCAAAAAAACTTAGACTCAAAATATGATGGAATCAAACAAAATCACATGATCCAAATATATTCACTAATCAATAATATGTAGAGTGTCTTCTTAACATAAAGTAGCACATTACTAATCGTTGTGTCGGCTACAGAACATTCTTACTACAAAACACTGATTAACATTAATTGATCAATAAACGTTTAGCGAAAATGGACTCGGACAACTGATACCGAGAAAAGTGGTCACTAGGACTAGAGAAATCAAAAATGCCAGTTGCTGATAGCTATAAATATTGGACGATATTTACAGGTGATATTTTTTAAAGATTAGACAATGAATATATAAAAACAAAAATATTTGATTTACGATATGTAATACTAAAATTTCCGTGTTGAGTAGCTGATGTATTAATCATGACACCTTAAACCACAGAATTATTATTCATGTCTATAGTCATCAGATAGTCGCCCCTACAATTCCAAAGAGAGTTATGCTCTATCAGAGAATTAAACGTGAATAAATAAGCAGTAAACTACTTGACAGCTGATAACATGTAGGAGTGAGTGGTTAATGCTAATCAATCATATTTGGTCATCAGTGATAAATCCAAACTATTGTGTCTTACATGTTAAATGAGGAAGTGAAGTTACAGTACGCTGTATTTGGTGTTCGGTGGTCAGTAACTGTTTATGTGGGTATCCTGTATGATAACAAATAAAATGTAGGTATTGACTGAGGCACTGGAAATTTTCTTTAAATTACTGACATGCTTTACTTAGAAGTGCATGGAACTTGTTTTTCAGCTACCAATGTGGTTCAGTTTAACAGTTAGCGAATCCATGGATCTGTACTATATATTCTATGTGAACACATATCACTTTGGCTGATATCATGTGGTCCGGTCAAATATTAAAAACATCCAATTAACGACCTCTAGCCACTTTCCAACGTGTCCGAGTCTACAAAGCATATGCGTTAATGTGGGGGGTGGCTGAAGATGAATGAGGTTATTGTTGAGTTTAAGCTGTCTTCGATTTAACAATTAGGAAGGATTTGAAATTCTAGTGCACATTTTCAGTTGGCAAGATAGTGATAAATAATAAGTCAAAAGATTCAGCATAGAGCTGTTATTTTCAAAAACAGAAAACAAACCAATCTTGTAAATAAATTATTTCGTATCATACTTCTGCTCCTGTTAAACTTACTGATTCAGAGATAAGTAGTCGAATCACTTTGAATTTGAACTCCTCAAAAAGATAAGGATTTAACTCAACCTAAATATATTTAAAAAGTATACCAATATAAAACAACAAACAATAATGGTATGATAGACAAAAACAAACTTTAATTCAAATATTATTATTATATAGGATGGGAGACTGAAGTCATTATGACGCTACTTTTTATTATGGATTGATATGAACTGGAATACCAGTGAAAACTTGGTAGCACTAAACAGCTGTTTCGAGTTCCGAAGGATAGCGTACCCATGACCAGATAAGGGACGGAACTCAAGACCATTAAGTCCTACAGAGAGCCCGTTACTTTCAGACAACTGATTCGGAATCCGGTAGTTCACATTTTTAACTTGTTGTAATTCGTGACATATTGCGACTATTGTGTAACATTATCTATAATAACTATTTCATTCAAAACATAGCTATCTCCAGTTGTCCAGCCTTTTACAAGAACACAAAGAAATTCATAGAGAAGCTAATCATTAATGAGCATATGATTGTTGTTTAAGTAGGTGGTTTTTGAATTCTGCTCAACCTGAAAATAGCTGTTATCGTGGAACGACACCAACCGAATAATAAATGATAAACCAAGAAGAACTTATAAGTTGTCTCTTCTCAATTTAAGGCTACTCTAGAATGGAGAAAAGACGACAACCCTCGATATGTCCATCAGTAATTGGATTTCAGCAGTTCTCAAACTGATGTCAGTTTGTGATGAAATCTATTCTCAAATTCAACCATTTTCCTCAAAAACAACTAATTGAAAATCATTTACTATCATTACTGGCATAAAAGACTGAAATTAGAAAATTGACGGTTTAATTCAACATGATGTCATTTTAAGATGTCCACACTCTTGTGCCATCAGTTGTTATTTGAGTAGGGAGTTTTCACGGATGAATTTTCCGATGGACATTTGATATTTTAACGAGATATCTTATACTGGTACTTTGGGAGGATGAATTACACGAAGAATCTTAGTACAATAATTGACTGTCTCATTAATTTTTTGAAATGAAGGAAAAAGTTGTATTTAAAGATATGAAGGATCTTTATTGCTTAAGATGGTTAATACCTGTTTTACGCCTATCCGTTCATCAACTGCTTCTACGTACGATGATGGCCATTGTAGAAATAGGTGGGAAGAAAATTAGTGATGGGCAAACCAAGATGAGGCCTCAGTCTATGAAGACACTGACTAATGGACTAAGCCATATAGGTAGGTGAAAACTACCTGGCTGTGGTCCATGTAATTATCATGACCAATGATTAAAGACGTTGGGTAACACGGCTCGAAATCATTCGCAATGGAGCAGGTGCTTTCACTTGTTGTGCTTCCTTAAATCTTAATTTCCTAAATTCCGTAAAAGCCTTTTTATATTTTCTCAAATTGTATATGTAACGCTCAATATTAATACTGTTACTACCTCTAATACTCGGATTTGTCCTGACAATTTTCTCATTGTGCCAATGTATGCGACAACTTGAACCGAAGAATGAATGTGCCAAGTTTTATGTTGCGTATGACTTACTGAATAATTCACTGATATCTAGTATTACTTAAACAGTACATATTAATGGAAAAAAGTGCAACAAGAGCAAAGCACTACACACCTTGTGGTATAACTCAATTGTTTCCAAAGCGTAATTACAACAATCAGTGGATGATATTATAAGAGGGTGGTATAATTTTGACGAAGCGAGATCTAAACTTGAAGATGTTGAATGTTCTGTAAAAGGGAAATTTAAAGAAAAATTCTAAGTCAGAGTAATAACCAGAAACAGAAAGGTAACCAACACATACTTTCTTGCAACAAAAACATTTACACTGGTAGATCAATGAATCTACACTCTAGTCAATAGTTGATTAAGAAATTAAATAATAATTAATTCATCGTTTCCATCTTATTGATCAAATTAATCGGACTGTATCCTGACGTGTTTAACTTTAATGGAATTCTAACATGTTTATTGAGATTGACTGTAACAACGAAGAATAATTTTTATAATAAGTAAAATATCATTTTATTGTAGATATAAAAGTCTGATGTATGGATTGCTACAATAAAACCACAGATATAAAAATATTTATAATATCTAAAATAGACTAGGTTAATTATCAAATATACAACGTTTCTTAAACAAGAATCACAATTATTACCATTAAAATGTACATAATTGTGAAGACTTCATAAGATGAATAACCGAAGTGAAATAACTTTTACCAAAAAACTAATAGTTAAATTGAAGCGTCATCTGTCATCTGTGATTAGACTCATTAATACTGTCCAAATTTGTTATTATTGACTAATTTTATAATGGGCATGATACTAGAGTTAATACTGTCTCATTTGTGAGGAATCCGCTTGATGTATACAGACGACACAGCCAGGTGTTATTACAATTGCTGACAGAATCTTCTTTCCACATTGATTAACAATGGAAGAAGTCTTGGTATGTGTATTATACTCCCTTGATAGGAAACGTCGCTCAGCTGCAACTCATCAAGTACAGACTCGTGTAATGGGCTTATAACTTCGCTTTGTGTATGAGACCTAGTGATACTACTCGGATACCCAAACTGAAGTAGGTGAAGCAGGCCTCAAAATTGCAGCCTGGTATTTGAAAGTCAAACGTCTTAACCTCTAAGGACAGATTTGTGCCAGTTTTTCACTTAACAGAATGATGGCTGACAAAATTTTAGCACTAGCATAGAAACCTTTGATTAACCTTTGGCAACTTACGTCATACATATGATCATTTATAAGTAAAAGGTCATTAAAGCTAGAAAGCAGTACGCGATATTGCATAGACAATCTGCTGATACGTGAATAATTAAGAGGACTTTAAAACCATTAATTAAACAGTTATAAAGTAAAGTACAACACAAAATTAAATGTAATTTGCAAAACGGAAACAATCATCTAAAATCGAAATATTTTATCAAAATTATGTAACTGTAAGTTATCAGTAATTGTTGAAGATTGACACATACCCAGCATATCTGATTCCTGGGAATGTGATTTCCGTAGTTCACCATTGGTTAAATTATCATCTAGATGACGCTGCTGAAGAAATTTCGAACGTGTTGTTCCTAGGTTTGAGGAATGATCAGAAGAATGTTGACACATAGCAACTGCACAAAGACCTTCTAGAGCACCTGAAATAGTTAAAACAAGTTATAAATAGATTTTTTATTGCAAGGATTACTGTCAAGATATGACTCGATAATATTAAGTGAAGTAACCATAAGGTAGTATTTTATTATAGAAGAGGTATATCTACCAATTCCTGATGAGTAAAAATATTAATAACGCTCATGAAAGCTAATTCGGACAACTTTACCTAGAAGTACATAGTTAGTTAGAATAGTAGCAGATTAGAGAACAAGAGATGGGCGCGCCAAGGCATCATCGCGGACGTTGACAGATGCAAACTATCTGGTTGAACCTCGCATAGGAATCATGACCAGTGGTTGGAAACGTTGAGTGGCATGACTTGGAACCAGTCACAGTGGCTCATGTGCATTCAATTTTTAATTTCTCCCAAATCCTGAACTTAAAAATTATTTCGTACTTTCTATTCCTTGAACTCATCCTTTATTTTCAAACCGTGCTCTCCATTATTTAATCATTCTCACTATAAATGGTATCGGTAAAATCTGGACATTTATTTTATTCATCTTCCTAATTCTATCTTGTTGTATTAATGTTATAATTCTCTCTTATTACAACCCAGTTAATCCTATTGTTTAGTAGTTTCGGACACCAATTCACTCGACAAGTCCCCAAATCAGAGCACGGTTGAACAGGAAAGAGATTATATTCTAAATAACAAGGTTAGATGGAAGTAAGGAGCACAGTAGGGAAAGCGTTAGTATATTCATGGTTTTTACATGGAAAGATTCTAGTGTTCCCCAAGTATCGGCTAGCGCTGATTGGATAAGAATTAGCCCATCAGAGTTCACCAACGCAATCGTGCATTGAGCATGCTTTAATTTAATCTGTCCCACCAACAACTAATGCGATATAGTAACTTGAGCTGACATATATTTGCACCAGGCTCTCAGCTGTTTATCACTAAGTTCGGATAATAAATAACGTACACAATTTAATACAAAAATGTGTCATTTGTTTAGTCACAATGATTTTGCTTGAGAACCAAAACGAAAGCAGGTAATTTCTTTGGGATATTTCCTTTTACACTTTCAATATGATTGTTGAAATCACAAGGCAATGAAGTCAAAGTAGGAGACAGACATCTACGGTAAGGGAGAGAAAATTTAGGAAACTATGAGTCATTGTTAACACTGGTTTATTGTCAAACTTATCCAACTTTTCTTAGTTGACACTTCATATCAACCAATCCGATCTAGATGCCAGAAGTTCGTCATACCACAGTAAATATAAGGATCCTTAATTGACTAAAGGATAGACAGAACTATAGGAAGTTTTAGCAACTTCCCGAATCATCGACAATTATTGTTCTCAATTTCAATTCATACTAAATAATCAAGACATTGATGAATACCATTATCAGAACCCTCAATGATTATTATTCAAAAGTGTTATTTTATTTGCTCAAGAAAAGGATCATTTTATAGTCTAACGATTTCATAAACAAATGAAATCTAACGGGGACAAATTCATTTATAACACTTCACTTCTTAAAACCATGTCTATCATGCAACCAAACAAAAGATCATACGTCGAATATGAAGCATTTAGAAAATAAACTTACCTGCTATCCACAAAGTATCATTAATAGGTTTTAAATGTTCAAGGGCCAGATTATACTGAATTTGTGCCATTTCTAAATCACCTAACTGTAAAAATATATCACCCAAATATTTCTTAAACCGCCCCGTTGCTCGTTTCTGTTTGATAAATCTAAATAAAGGAAAATCCATGCCAAATTACGGTAATAATAATAACAATAATATAACGATGTGTACTTAATAAAAGATAAATATTATCTAACCATAGGTATAAAATGAAAATAATGATACATAGCAATCAACTGACAATAAAAAATATCACCAGAAAAAGTTTTCAATAAGAGGAAGGTATTTCAACCACTTGGTTAAATGTTATGATGCAAAATAGGGATTTATGAAATGGATTTTGAACACCAAACTGTGGTAGTAGAGCAGTTGAAGCATATAAATAAACCAGAGAAAAAAAACTTATTCAGTAAGCGTTCAATAAGGAACAGCAAAAGCGAGGTTTCACTTTATTTTATTTAAATGCAATTATCAAAACTTGCCGTATTTATTTCTATGAAAAGCTATTTTAAGCTTTCCCTAGGATTACACGATTTTATAAATGAGCTAATCATAAACAACTGATATCTCAAAAAAATAATCCCGGTATTACACACACTATGGGGGAATACGGTTTTTCACATCAGATAAAATAAAAAAATCTGATATCTTTTAGGACGATAAAGATTACTTTGAATAAATATGTTATGATCTGTAAAAGAGTATTATAGCAACCGAATGAAAAACAGAACACCTATACTATCTATCACTAGTTTATGTGCCTAAAATTTAAACAAATTAATAGGGTTAAAAAACTACAAAGATGTATAAACGCAATATCAAATGAATATCAAAGAATGTGCTAAATCAATTTCATTTTGACCATGTGACCTTACCTATGTCAAATGTTATCGCAGTCGAATAGAAATAAAGTAAAGTACTAAGCATTGTAAATAACTTAACATAAAGCAAACAGTACAGAGTAATTGTCCAGCATTTTAAACAATTTACTATCTGCCATCGAATTGTGAATTTAAACCTCAGTCCATCTGCTTCGAGATCTGTGGTCGTAGTTATATATATACGTTAACAGAGAAAGTTCTGTAAGTCATCATATAATTCTGTGAATTCGTATATGTAATACATATATGAATACACAACAGTATATACTGATTTGAAGAACTACTTTTTCTTCACAAACGAATACGGAGATAGAACTCAATAACTACGAAGCGATAAATACAAAGAAAATGTCTTAATTAGAAGCATGCTGAATATATTGATTTATTAAGTACAAAAACTTGATAAGCAATAATCAGATAAACTTATAATGGTTATATGTACATGCAATACACATCAGTCGATATAAGCTATCTGCATGACAAGCAGAAAAGGTATAAATTAACGAAAATATTGGAAACCACTCAATAATATTTAACAACAAAACATCCGTATTAATAATAAACTAATTATACGAGAATAATTAAATGATACATATTCCTACCATATGTAACGTGTTTAGAAAGAAGCGCTAAAATCTTTTTGTCTAATTAATGGCAGTCAGTGATAAGAAACTTCGAATATTTTGACATTAATAGCAATAATAAATCCAAATTTAACTCTATTTGAATATTTCTAGAGTTCGGCCAACGACAAACACCATGACAAGACTAGTTACTACTACTAACTACACCACTACTCAATGATCGATCGGCGTTATGCTACATTTAGTAATTATTTAGTTAAAGGTTCAATATTTTTCAACCATCCAGTAATCAGTGTTTCAAGAAAATACCTTACTAATCATACCACATTATTACTAAGACTGGAACACGAAAAAAATCGCAGTACAAAATAGTGGAAGGTGATTTGTGAGGAATTAAACGATAAAATGAACAAAATAACTTTATTTTTATGAGAAATGAAGGTGAAAACAGAAAATCCAAGTGGAAATAAAGTACGCATTTGATTTATATCATAAGTACTGACTACTTGGAATATGTGCATAATGCTCAAAGGAAAGTATGAAAAAAGTCAAACAATACAACTGGAGAAAAACTATTACAGTAATATGACAAGGGAAAGGATATAATTTAGGATTTAAACCAGGAAACTTCAGGGAGGTAAAATTACCTTCCGTAATTCGGAACGGAACACGATGAAAGCATCCATGATGTCCTATGAGAAATAATTTGGTTTTCATGAACACGTACTACTCCTAAACATCAAGTGAACTTTGTATTGATAAAGTAGGTAATGATAAAAGCATATTTTAAAACCGAACAGTCAAGAGGTTAAATTTAAGGATTTAGAAAAACAACTCATTGAATCACTGGTTGAGAGTATATAAGACATTCATTAAGACCTCAAACTTAAAGGTTTAAGTCAGTCAGTCAGTCATCTACGAAGCAGAACCAGAAATATATGCATCGCTCCAAGTTACTACACCTCATTAGCATAACAAGATGAACACCGAATTCATAGAAGTAGTCACTTCAATGATAGTAATCAATAAAAGAGATTATGTATAAACATATAGTACAGGAAGAAAGAATTAGATCGTAGAAGGAGAGATATAAAGCAATTTTAATATTACGGTTTAAGGGAAGAGAAAGAGTGTATACACCTATACCATTGTGATCGATTCTGAGCCATGTCATTCACAGTATCCAACCACTAGTTACAATAGACCCAAACAAAGTAGTCTGCATCTACCAACATGGTTCAAACTAGAAATTTGTGACTCCAAGAATCGATGCCACGTTTCGGCTTGGCCACCCCTAACTTTCTTCCAACAGTCTCCAACACTTGTCAGCATTGCAACTCGTGGTAAACGGCGTTTAAAAATATGTCGGACGTGGCCCAACCAACTCAGTCGATGAAGATTCACCAACTCATCAATTGATTTACCATCATTCCCTAATACCCTTAGTCTAACCTCATTACTACTCACTATTACCCGATGATCCCAGCAGTGCTGGAAATCTTTCTGAAACATGGAATCAAATACTAGTAACTTGCAAGTACCCTCTCTCTATCCCTACTGGCCACGTCTCGCAGCCACAAAGTAAAACACAACCAACTGCTGCGTTGTATACTCGACCCTTAATTGATAGACGGATACCTCGCCTTCGCCATAGGTGACGTAAGTTGGCATAAGCCAAACGACCACTTCGAATCCGTGATCACATTTCGTCTGACACCAACCCATTAGGGCTGATCAGATTTCCGAGATAAGTGAAGTTGTCAGCGTGTTCGACTACTTCACTCCCTATCCACAGTTCAAGTGTTGACCCAGGTCAGCCCTGAAGCAACAACTTGCATTTAGAGGGGGAGAAACACATCCCAAACATCCTGACATTGTTGCTCAGTGCTACCAAAATACTTTGCATTTTATCCACGTCTTCACCAAACAGCACTATGTCATTTGTGTATTCTAAGTCAATAAGTAGCCCTCCTCGTAGGAGGTCAATCCCAGAAAATTCAGTCAACGAGAACGTTATTCCCAGCAGTAGGTCTATGATGAAATTGAACAAAAATGGAGATAGTGGAATGCCTTGACGGACAACACTTGAAGTTGAAAAATCAGATGAAAACTTTCCATAAGCACTGACCCGACTGGTAGTGTTCGAGTAAAGAGCCTTCACAAGGTTTATGTACTTCTGAGGAACGCTTTTCAATGACAGACACTGACACAGAACCTCTCGGTCTACAGAGTCAAATGCTGCTTTTAAACCAAGAAAAACTATCATTTTCGGACGCTGATAAGCTGTCTATGTTCTAGAACCTGACGAATGGTGAATATGTGGTTGATGCAGCCACGACCAGGTGTGAAGCCAGCCTGATTTCCTCGTGTTTGCAGTTTACGAGTCTTAGGCGTCTGATAATTATCGAGGCTAGTATTTTAGATACTATATTAGTTAAACTAATCCCTCTATGGTTGTCACATGATGATTTTAACCCTCTCCTATGTACTGGGACGATAAGTGATTGTGACCAGTCAGATGGAATAACGTATAACTCCCAGATCTTAGCTAAAATATTAGTCAACCTAATCGCTAAAATTGGACCACCATCCTTAAAGACCTCTGGAGCCAATCCATCTGGACCAGCTGCCCTTCCTCGTTTCAGATTAACTATAGCCTTCTCAACTTCAGCAAGAGTTGGGGGACCTACTTCAATGTTCCATTCACACTGTCTGGGAATGGAGGGTAGTTGTGGAGTAGCTGAAGGCCAGCTGAACTGTTCTCTGAAATGTTCCGCCCATCGTTCTAAACGTCTGGACTGAGAGCAGTTGAGGGTGTCATCTTTTTCCGAAACAATCTCACTTACACTTGACTTATTAATTTCAGTTTCTTTTATTAGTCTGTAGGGCTGTCTTGTGTGTCCCTATAGCCGCCGCCTTTTCCATCTCTTTTGCTTTTGTTTCCCACCACTGCTCACGGTCGTCTCTTAGACTTTTGGTTAACCTAGATCTGATTTGTTTTCGCTCTTCATGGTGTTCAGAGCCTAATGGGATGAGTTTACGAGAATCCATCAGTGCAACAGACCTTGAGGAAATCCATTGGTTCTTTGTAACCCTGTGGTTTAAATCACTGATAGATAACACTGCTGTTTCCACAGCTGCTTGTATATCTTTCCAAGCAACACCTGGGCCAGCATCGTTTTCAGAACTACCTAAGTGTGACCTCAGTTGTTCCTGGAACCTACTTTTGGTTTTCTCGTAACTCAATTCAGTTCTAATGGGGCTTTTCTGCGTCCAGTGAGGCGCAAGCAGATGCGTGCCCGAATTAGGGCATGGTCGGAGTTCAAACAGGTACTCCAGAATGAGCGACAATCTTCTACCGACCCTCACCAACGATGACTGATGCCAATATGGTTTACTTGAGTCTATCGTTTGTTTGATGTATGAGGCCGTCATGTTAGACGATGTCTCTCCTTATGCTTAAAATTTGTTTGCTAAAAATAAACGATTGTCTGAGCACAATTGCAGCAGACGATCACCATTATCTGTTCGCTGTGTCGGAATACTAAAATACCCACCCAAATGCCTTTCTGTTTGGTTTAAACTACCTATCTGGGCATTAAAGTCACCTACTACGAGTACTATGTCTGAACGTTTAGCTTTCTGTAAAATTCATCTTTCACTTCATCTGAGCTGCAGTCGGTGGGAGCGTAGGCAGAAACGACAAAAGGGCAATGACGTGTGTCTCTATCCTTCCGAGTTCTTACGGAGCCGTTTAGCCGAACAGCACATAAACAACTGTCAAAGGGGATCCACTCTAACAGTGCTTGTTCCGCCCTCATGCTTAGTGTTATGCCTACACCTGCCAGTCCACGAGAACTGGCCATCGGGTCACCAGATACACGGAGGGTGTATCTCATTGGCTCTCCGTTTTGCCGAGGTGAGGTCAAGTGAATGACCACACTGGGATCCTGTATGAGTGTTTCGGAGACACAGCATACATCAATTGTACGAGATTCTAGGGTTCTAACCAAGGAAGCCTGCTGACCGATTTGACATAGGGTTCGTACGTTGAAGGCTCAAATGTGTAGTTTGGAGCGAGGTTTCAGTAAACCTGGGACAGTGTTTTGAGCACTAGAATCGTTGGCTATGGTGACACTTGAGGAGGAAGTCGAAAGGGGAAATTTAGAGTTGAAAGTCGATGTAGGAGGAATAATAGGAATTGAAGAGGGAGGTTGATTATGAATACAGTGGTCTTGAGTGCTGTTAGAGGTATGAGGGCGGTTATCACTTCCCGGTCGGAAGGGTTCTTCTGGAGGTACCCGAAAAGGAAATTGGATTAGAGGTGGTCATAGTGACCTGAGAGCGTGACCACAGTGCCCAAGGGACAACTGCTTGAGGTCGGCCACACACGACCTTCTTGTGGGCAATTTTTGTGTTAGCTCAGTACTTGTTGGGACCTTACCGCCGGAAACGGATATCCATGGGGTAAGGCGAGGTATGCATTTTTAGGGTCGACCTTTTCTAACTCCACCCCTCCTTGTAGGAAGGCAGCATCGCTGTCATGCTGGTTGTATGAAGGAAACACCTTACTACTGTCACACCTCTGTACAGTCAGCAGTACAACTTCGCCTTCGGACCTTGGGTTTGTTGATTTAGTCTTACCGCTCTTCAACCGACCTGTCTGACATGGTAGGACCTTGAGGAAAGGTTGTTCCAGCCAGTATAGCTCGGTTGCTTCATCACGATAGGCAAGCCCGACCACTACTTCAAGGTAGCAACAACGGTCGACTTTAAGCACTCTGTTTTTAACAAAAACGTCTTATATTTGAAAGCCGCTTCACCAACTTGGATTTAAGCGTCTGAGGGTTATCGCTAGAGCCTTGATACAATGTCTAAAACGCTCGATCAGAACCTGACACAGATGCATATTATTCTACGTTGGACGATCCTGCATCATCATCCACAAAAACCTCAGGAACTAACCAACCAGGGCTTGTTGCTCGCTCTCACTTTAATTGGAGGATTAATGTCGATCTTCCATTCAGGCTACTGCTAGGTAGTGAACAACTGATGGGTATTTAGTTGCCAAATAAATTTTTTTATTATATTGTTTCCCAGTAATCTATAAAAATTTTAAAGGGATGTATGGGATAGGAAGCCTACTGTTACAAATTATACTCCTTTCGTGTACTTAAAACCCGTTCATTTTTATTGTGCAAATAATGCAGTGAAAAGAAGATTTACTCACATGATTTGGTAACAATTAGTTTAATTTCAATAAACTGTACATAATAAGTCAAAACCTTTTAAGCCAAAAAACTAAAAATATACCCATATCACATTATGGACAACTTAGCTATAAGCGATCTAAAACTCACTAATCAAGTACATGTTCAGGAACTCGACTTGAAATGATCATTTATTTGACGGTTAGTAGCACTACGCAACTATCCAAACTCAAGCAGATGGGATGACCTCTGAACTTGTGATCCAATTGTTGAAAAACGAGTGCTCTAACCATTAAGCCGCAAACAATGATAATAACACGATAAACTCAACATAAAAGATTTCTAGTAACATCGAGAATCCAACTTTTATATGACAATTTGTAAAATATTACTTATTCATCATCTTAGTCACAGGGGAAACAATGTCAGCTTCGAAAAATTTAGATGACAATTCCGCAAGACATGCAATCAAATCTGACAAACTTAGGATACTACCAGGACAGAGCAAAAGCAAATGTTGATCAAAAGAATAACAGTAGGACAACATAAAAATGCTTCATTACGAACTTTCGTAACAATACATCAACGAAAAAAGCAATCCGAATCTATCATTCTTTGTGGGCAACCACTAATACATGACATATATACTGTACACTGAGCTTATACTGAATAATGCAGACTTACTTTGACAGTCTAATTAGACCTTAAAAGTATTCATAAAGGAATTATTTCAAATGAAAATCTTGTCTATATCTACATTCTACCACATTCTTTAGTAATCAAAATGGTCACCTGAAAGATATACAAAACTTTATTCTGCTATAATCAGCACTATCTGTTAGAATAATTAAGATTAATACGAAAACAGAGAATTCCTAGAGTATTATTTACTTTTTTAATAAGTAATAAATCTTTCTGCACATGCAGTATCTCAACAGGATTATGATTGCCTTGGATGTTATTATAGCTAGCAAATTCAAGTATGTTGTTTTTTGATAACACATTTTGAGTGTAGTTGAGTTCAGAAACAGTCAACACTTACTAGACACAAGCCAAATTTGGATATACAACTAATTTAAACATGAAAAATGTTGCACCAATGCAGTAGGTTGGTGACCAATTAATTGATGAAACAGAAGCTATGGATTACTCTACATTCTGGCCTTTTTACCCATCCGTAAGTCAAAAGCAAGTTCAAAACACATGCAAATTTTGTTTCCGAACACATTAGTCATCTGCTACACAGGCTCCAACTTTATAAAAATATTGCAGCTCCAGACAATCAACTAGTTTCTAACTACGTTGTGAACATGAATTATCTTGATTCAGAGTAGGTTAGTTATGTGTTAAAATGGACACTAACTATGTATATTGTAGAAAATTAACCGGTTTTTCGGAAATATTTCTGTACGGATGACATGCACAAGAAGTTTAGGGTTATTTTGCTTAAGTTAAATTAAGCACGAAAAACCTAGAGTTTAGTGAGATTCCGTACAACCACAAAAGAGAAACGTAGTTATTTGCAATCTACTTATTATACTATTTAAACATTTACTAAAAATTCAAACCAAACAAAAACATCACAAATTATAGTTATTTAGACTTTCTGAAGAGTTCATTAATACTAAAAATAGGATATATATATATATATATGAAGAGAATATTTTTTTAGTCAAAGCACCAGTAAACCAAGGTTATTAATGATTAGAAAACAAGTTTTTCGAATTGATTATTGTTATTACTATGAAAATAAACTATTTTAAAAACTTACCCGAACCACTCAAAACTGGAATTGAGAATTTAAAGAAATCACTAGTAAATGCTTCTTAAAATCGTTCACACAAACTAATAAGTTTCTATACCAAATATTGTACCTCTAGGTGATTTTCTAACATGACTTGCTGCCCTTCAAAATGTAATCATGTCAAATACTGGAATCCCCATTCGCTTTTCGTTCTCTCAATTTCGTAAACAACACCCGCGCCGCGAGAAGGCAGTGAGTAGGAATTCCCTGGCAATGACTGTATATGGGTGGTCATGTGAGAGCATTTCGAGAGGGAGGGCTGACTCTCCCCACCAGGGCATTTGGGGGAGAGCAAATGTCCGGCGCCTTAACCGGGTTGGCGGATATGAAGGATCCACCTGGGGAAGTTGGGAAACCCTGATTCCAAACCAATGGTGAACATGGGCTCTAGGATCCTGAAGGAAAAAATGGCGTATGTATCAATTATTGGTCACCGGCTACCATGGGATTGTATCTCCTGAAGTTTCTCCACTACCTTGTGGATCAGACCTTTAGGTCTAAGGTTCCGGGTGTGACCCCTAAGAAAACCTCCAGCTTCGATCTGGGCAACCGGGCAGTATCACAGCCGACACACAAATCAAGTGACTTATGTGGCATATATGTATTCGGTGCCCCTTTGTACCAGTATTTATGTGCTCAAATACATAAATAATAAATTGAAATTCACAACTAATAGTGGAGATCAATTCAAATTGTAGCTTTATATATAAAGCTACAATTTGAATTGATCTCCACTATCAGTTGTGGAAAAGAAACACAAACTTAATGCCTTAAGATTCTGATTAAACGAAATCATATGTACAACTGAAAAGTCTCTAACATTTAAATAAAAAGAATAAGATATCACAGTTAAATTTTCAAGCAAGATTTAACGTCGACAAGTCAGTGAAGACATGGATTTTAAAATTAATTATCTCCTATTGGATCAGAGGTACTGCTTATTTACTTGCTACCTGAATCCATTGGTGGGATGAAAGGTATCTACTTTCATTAACTTGAAGTGTAGATGGCGACGATTAGATGCTCATGAGGTTCTATATTTTATTTCGAATGTATCATAACGAAGTTACATAATAACATTAGTGAGGTGAAGCATGAGTCAGTGATGTGAATATTCAAATGAGATAGGTTGTCAATCTATAGATTTGTTGGGGTGTGAATAAAGGATAATTTTGTATTCAGATAGGCAAACTTGGAATTTAAAAGAACAGTTAACTAAACTATAATTATGTTGAATGTTACTAAAAATCTGAATGATATGCATCACAACCTTATTCGTATATAAGAAAGGAATATCCACAAATAAAAAGCGACAACTTCATCAAGTGTTTTAAAAAAGAAATAACTAACCTTATATCTGTTTGAGCACTGATAGAACTTGTTGATCCTGATCTATCTGTAAAGGTAGACAAAGCAGATAATGCATTAGTACGCCCTAGCGCTTTACGTCTGACTTCATCAAGAATATTCCACTTCGATTCATTTTCTTCTGGAGCCATTAATAGATCGTCTGACGAGTCTGTTAGTTCTTTAGATAGCTGTGACTCTTTTTTCTTCAATTTAATATCACTCGGACACTTAGCGGCGAGCATCTTCTTCAAATTCCAATAAATTTCAGAAGTTAGTGCTTGAAGGACTGAACTAATCCGATGATTAACAAACGGTGGTCTAATTGAAACATGTGATTTGTCAACTAAAGAACACTCATCCGTCCCAGCAGAGTAACCAAAATCTTTAAGAATATTCATTTCTGATGCGAATAAATGCTCGGAAGGATGACAAATAATTTCACCTAGCAATGCTGAATCCTGTGACGAAAATAAGAGTTATATACGTCTACATAATTTCAGGTAAAATTATTTATTGTTCACACAATAAAAATTCCCGAAATGTAAAAAAATAATGATAAAAATTCCGAATAAATACCATGCAATCAAGAGCTTAAGGGATATAAAGATAGTTGAATAACGAAAAGTGATCAAAGAAATCTGAAAAAACATGCAGAAATATATATGGTGGGAGTGACAACTTATACCCAGTAAATAACATATTTCTGTTCCCATTTACTGGGTTCAAGTCTCAGTGATAAAATCAACAATCACTGTGACGCAAGTACATTCAGCTGACAAGTTCATAAAAATATAAAGCAGTCTACCAAGCCTGGACTAAATATAATCTAAATAGTTTGTCATCTATTATGCTATTAGAGTATGTATGCCTGATCGTCTAAGATACAGAATGACTTACGTTTCTTTTTCTACTCTATGGCACCCAGATGTGAAAAATTCGTATACTGACCATTTCATGTCGATTTTTTATACATAGATCTTTGTAGGTAATCATCTAGCCTTTTCAACAGGGTCTTAAATAATGGAATTTCGCGTTCACCTCCGCTTGGCATGTCCTTTATACTTGATATTCACAAAAAAGTTTTTCTTTTGAACTGTCAGTGATCTTCCAGTTCTGAAAAGGTTTTAATGAACTAGAAACAACTTTCAAGTATTTGCTGCCATTCAGTAGTCCGAAAACTATTGCTTGTCAGCGATAAAACAGTCAATTACTGGATCTTGTAAAAAAAAGCATCCTTAAATGTAATGTAATGTAATGTTGAGAAATAAGTTCGATTAAATAAAATGAATTCACTGTTCAATAATTATTTGAAGTCATTTTGATTAAAATCTACACAGATGGAAACCGTCTTACATCAAAGATAGATTCTTAAAAATCACATTGTTCATATTCAGATGTTTACAAGCTGCACTTCATGTTTATTATTTGAAATAATTTGACAAGTTCTCGGTTGTTCTGTCAAATAATCAACTAGTTACAAGCAACTCTTAATCAAAAATGGCTTTTATATGAATAGAGAACCCAGTATGTCAACAGTACCAGGAAGAGCCAATGCGTCACATTTCGACGCCATACAAAAACAAATACTGGAAAAATCAAGTTACCTCTTTCAACATTTCAGATACAAAAGCATTTGCTTCTTCAACTGATAGTGAGTCGTTTTGATTGCCCAATGGTTTTAAAAACAGGAAAAGTTGACTACTGATAAGCGTAGCTGACAACAATTTCTAGCAAAAAAAACAAAAACATCTAATGGGGAAGAGGACAAGAAATAGGAAAATCATGTGACTAATTAACACATTAACGATAAGCATACATAAAATGGTTGAAGAAACGAGGATGACAGAATAAAAGTACAAACTAATTTTAGAACTCAGGACCTAATGGGAGATAAAGAGCAAATACATATGACCTATGTCACCCAACGTCTCCAACTACTAGTGATTGAAGTGATCTCACAGACACCAATCACACAGTCGCCACCCACCAACATGGCTCGGATGAACAGCCAAAGACTTTATGGACTGATACCACTTTTCAGTTTAACTGGTCCTAGTTTACTTTCAACCTGTCCTTACACCAGCCAACACGACAAATTGAGGTAGGCTCTGGTTGGTGGGTTACAAATTATTAGTAGAGCTGAGGTAATAACTAACTTGATGCAGTGTAGAGCAATAGGTCCAGGTGTGTTAACTATACAAATCTTTAAGGGAGGTAGTTCAGGATATATAATGATACTGCTTTGGGAAGCCGAGAGTACTTAACTCAGCATATCAGGCATATTTTACGGTCGTAATGATTTTTTAAACCGTGCTAATGTGACGAGTAACTGAGTATTCAAAGACAATTGGTACTTAGTAAAAGTAATTGACATTTAAATCTCAATTAATATAAATAAATGTCACGAAGGTCGAAACCAAAGCAAGACATTAGCCAACTAAGATCTGACTATTTTAGCCGGATCACAAAGGGCAAACTAACTCCCTAAAACTCATGAGGAAATCGTAATCTATGGATGGTGACAGATAAAATGACCAAAAACCAATCACACTGGGGTGGGTGTGACTAGTATTTATCTTTCTATAAATCTTGAACTGTTAGCGGGACATAGATTGGATAAAAGCATGTTCCATGCAAATTGCGTTGGTGCACGCTGATTGGCTAATTCTTATCCAATCAGCGCTAGTCGACACTTGGTGAAAACTAAAATCTTCCCATGTAAAAAATATAAATATATTAACGTTTTCCTTATTGTGTTTCTTACTTCCATCTACCCTTGTTCAGTCAGTAACGTAGAACTTCGCACGTACGTACTTCAGCTCCAGTTGTCATACCATATTAGCACAGAGATGCAGTTGTCGACTCAAATTCCGTAATGGTAGAGGTGGTAAGAGTATAAGCAGTAATCGGAAAGATCAGGGTTGGAAGACGTTATTCAAGGAGTATAATACAGTGAAATAAATTTGGAAAGAAAATAAGGGACATGAAGAATTCAGATTAGAATTTGGGAGAGCACAAAGAGTGGATGCACTTGCGCCATTGCAAAAAATTTTGAGCCATGTCACTCAGGGTCTCTAACCATCGGTTGCTATCATCTCGCGGTCCCCAACCAGGTAGTCTACACCTATCAACATGGCTCAGTCCACTTGTCAGTGACTTTATGGACTTGTGCCATTTTTCGGCCTGGCCGCCCCTAGCTTTTTCCAACCTACTCCTACACAGTAAAACATAGCGCGTCGAGGTACACGAGATCAAGTTGGTCACACTCAAATCTCTTGTTACTTGGAATATAATTTCTTTACTATTCAACCGTGTTCTGATTTAGGGACTTATCGAGTGAATTGATGCAGTAGGAGGAAATTATAACGTGAACACTAGTATTTTACACTTTCAAGTTTCTGATTTTAGTTAATTCATTCGAACTATGTATCTGATGTCTGGTTTTCCACTACCACTTGTATTGTTTTCATTGTTTGCTTTTTCTCAGACCTAGTTGAGCGTATTACTTACTCGTAGAATAGTTAACTTTTTCGGAACATAAATCTACAATCTTTGATGTAACGGTTTCTTTTATGTACATCTTCCTGGTAACCTATAATGCCAGATTTTATTACGAGGAAAAGTCAAAATAAGGTGGAATAACCATATCAGAGAACCCTAATTGAGTGAACATAAAAAATAAACCAGCATATTCAGTAAAACTAACCTTTTGCTTGATGTAATCTTTGACCCGTAGTTCTATGTCAGAATGACTTGAACACCAGGCAAAAGCAAGCAGTCCAACAGTAGCCCGATAAGGTTGGAAACAGCTCCATGCATTATTGATTGGGTTATATTCCTTTAAGAACCTTAACCAGATTGGTTGACGAGTATTAAAACTTGATATCCCAATATCACTGTGTACTTCAGAGGTCTCCGAAAGAGAATCGCGTTTATTCGTGCTCAACAGATGTTCACTTTTCGAACCTGTGAGAACGCGAATTAGTGCTGTAGAATCCAAGCAAGTTTAAGGAAAGATATTTGCCTTTGCCATGTATACTGCTCGCTTAATATTTAAGTTACTTGTTTCTCACATCTAGACACTTTTCTCTCATTGAAAATCGTACAGAAATTTCAGCAAGCAAACATAGGAGCTAATCACCAGTGTTCTGCATATTATGCAAGGAGAAACTATAAGTGTCACCTGCCATCAGCATCGGACAAAGATATTTTAGTAGCCCTAATTTGATTCCTATAGAGATCAACTATCAGATGGTTTTAAAACAATACGCAGACCCCATATCGGAAATGATTGGAAACCAAAAATATATCGTATATCACGGCGATACACGTATATTACCCGAAATTTTATCTCCTTTTTCTGTACTTAGTTTTTTAACTACTACTGTTACTACCTCTACTACACCAGGGTATCTTTGGAGTTTTATCTCTTTATGTTAATGTGGTATGATTACTTGAATTGAAGAATCGGTGCCAGGTTTTACCTTGCACCAAAATGATATGTATATTCCAACCCCAACATTGCTACATACTTCGTTTAAGCAAATCTAACACAACCCCGATGATAGACTCAATCGCCCAGTAAAATATAGCCTATTTTCCCTACAAGACTTAATCTTTCTTCAGCCTTTGAATCAGCAGTGCGATGTTTTGTTTAACATCAAATATATACAAGGGATGAAATGCAGATGAATTTTTAGAATAACGGTCCTAGTCCAAACATCTTAGTCAAGTACATGAGACTGTGACTACCTCTTCACTATACTGACAGCACAATTCACGTCATACAAATTTAGAGGCAGAGTTTTTGTGCATTTAATGCAGAGCAAGTTAAAAGTCTAGGACAATGAAATCCGATTTTGCCATTTAAGACGAAAAACTAAGTTAATATTAGATGAGAACTAGTAAGTTCCCATGATAAGTAATCCTTATATGCCATCCTGTTTATAAGCGCTTACTAGCAATAGCTATGGTTGAAACCACATAGATTGTTTTTAGTCAGAAATGTAGTCGGTAGTACAAAGTTGTGCTACACTGCACTTGCTTAAATTGAGACCCCACCAAACATACAGCTTTATACTTTTTGCGTGTTTTCCCAGAACTAATGTTACGTGGTGTGTGTCAAGTATTATACATCATTTGGTCTGCATCAAATATGCCACAAATATTTTGAGTTACTGCATCCCTCTATATAAAGCAACTGGAACATAATTCGCCTGTTCTCAGAAAAACTAAACATTAAACCTTAGGTTCTATAGTTTTTATCGACCGATAAATTTTATTGGTACTGATGGAAAGCCAATTTATGCAACACAAGGCCTGTCAAAATAATCAACTATAGTTGACGTAAATTATAGTTTACGTCGAGATACCCTTATGGCATTTAGATGATTAGAGCGACAAATGCTCAGTAAACTCACCATTACTTCGTACAAAGGTAAATGAGTAGTGAGTCACTAGCGAACAAAAAACGCTATCAAAAGTTCCCTCGTCACTCCCAGGGCCTAAGCACGCCAGACACACAGTGATTCTCCTGTGATCTATGAATGTTGCTTCATAATCAATCGCAAACATTCCCGAAAACCGTTTTCTAGGCTTCGTTTGCGGATCCAGGTTTCCTGAGGCACACAATTGTGTCGAGATTATCTGATTTGTCCGCCGTTACTATTATAGTCCAAAATGGTTCAAATGGTTCTAGATAGAGTAGAAGCAGTGGGTCGCCGGTGCCTTCAAGTAGAAACCTAGGTATGTTTAACGAAAAAAGAGGAAAAATACTAGTTAATCATAGTGAGATATTGTCCTTCGTCCCTAAGAATATGTCATGTTTTTTCTTGAAGGACTCTTGTGACGTCACTTTGACTAGCTCACAAGGCAGCTAATTTCAGAATTTGGCTACTCGTAATGAGTAGAATAGGTATAATGTTTGTCGACGGTCTGCTTTGTTATGTTGTGTCTCCAGTTTCTGAGTCTTACCCCTAAGGTTTGTGTTGGGACTGAGCTTAAGTGAGACGACTTTGAAAGGACCTTCAAATGGAGGGCTAAGTGGTGCTTTTATTTTGTCACATCTTATCCAGACATGTGTGCAATTGCTTAGGTCTTTAGGTACATATACGGCGCGCGATTGTTCACCAGTATTAATCGGCTTAAGTTTAGACATGTGGTCCCGTAGTTGATCTATGTAATTTTCTAAATTAAGTTTTTGACTGTTAGTATTAGGGTTAACAAATTCACCGGGTAGTCTCAGAGTTGTTCCGAAAACCAGTTCCTCAGCTGAACACTGTGTCAGTTTTGACAGATATTCGTATTCTCAACATAACCAATGGTAGGAATTCTGTCCACTGATTGGGGTTCGAATGAGATATAAGGGCGGTTTTTAGCTGACGGTGAAAACGTTCTACCATCCCATTAGCCTGAGGATGAGATGCAGTGCAGCGTATTCTATTGGAGCCTAGAAGTTTAGCCAAGTTATTAAATAGTTTGGATTCTAATTGCGTTCCTCTATCAGTCGTTATTGTTGTGGGTGTACGAAAAATGGTTACCCAGTTCTGCAAGAAAACCTTGGCCACTGTTTCCGCCGTAATGTCCGCTATCGGGATGGCTATAGGGAATCTGGTAAATCGATCTATGCATGTAAACAGATAATTAAAACCGTTTGAACGAGGTAAAGGGCCCACCAAGTCGATATGCACATGGGCAAAACGTGCATCTGGTTGCGAGAAAACACCTATGGGTGAATTTGTGTGACGATTAATCTTTGATTGTTGGCATGCTTAACACTCTCTAACCCACTTGTGTATATCCTTCTGTAAATTCAGCCATATATATCTGGCATTGATTAGTTTCGTTGAAACTTTTGCGCCAGGATGAGACAAAGAATGAAAGTTATTATATATCAACTTTCGCATACTTTTGGGAACGAAAGGTCGCGTCATTGCCTTGTCGTGTCAAAGTAGATTAGAATATCAACGACAGGTGATGGAAACTGTTTTAAACTAAGACTTGAATTGTTTGTTTGGTTGCTGACGGAATTAGTCGTCATTGATGAAGTCAAACAGTGAGCGAGCTGATAATTTTCGCTTGGGCTGGAAAAACAGAACTAAGGTGTTTTTTATTTATATACGTTAATCAAACCGACGTTCTTACGGAAGTCGATTCTAGGGGGAAGCTAATTAACAGCTTAGGTTGGTTGGTTAATAGTTGACCTCAAACAACCAAGCATATGCCTGAACAGTATATTTCGAGTATTTATCCACGTCCTTATTTTGTATAGGTGTTATATTCCCTATTATCTTATATTGAATGTTGAGAGGCTTTGTTTGTATGAATAAACAACGCCACGCTCCACTGTGACGGCGCGAAGATCGAAATAAAGACCTATGTACCACCTGTCTGGTTTCTTCTATCAATAACACGAGGGTTACCTTAAGGCACGAAATATCCAGGGTCAGCTTTCACTGCATTGCGAATACCTCGTAAGGCGAGTGAAAGAGCGTCAGTTCACTGTGAAATGTTTGCAGCAGATAGTGAAGGTTTTAGTTGTCGGTGAAAACGTTCTACCAACCCGTTTGCTTGTGAGTGGTAGGCAGTCGTTTGGAATCGAGTGATTCCTAAAAGTGTGGTCAGACGACGGAAAGGTTCAGATTCGAACTGACGTCCGCGATCTGTAGTGATGGTTGAAGGGCAGCCGAAGTTTGCTACCCATCGTTCGACGAAGGCGCGAGCCACTGTTTCAACAGTGATGTCCTTGATAGGTATTGCTTCTGGCCATCGAGTGAAACGGTCTACGCAGGTTAAGAGATAAGAGTATCCATTTGAATCTGGTGAAGGTCGTACCAAATCCAGATGAACATGATCGAAACGACCATCGGGAGCTTTAAATGGGCCTAAGGGACATTTATTGTGTCTGATAACCTTAGATTTTTGGCAGCTTACACAGGAGCGTGCCGACTCCCTCACGTCTTTATTCATACCAGGCCAGCAAAACCGTTCTGCTATAAGCTTGATGGTTGCACGAACACCTGGATGAGAACGTTTGTACAACATATTAAAGACGTTGCGTTGATAACGTTTCGGCACGACTGGGCGATCCCTACCTGTAGATGTGTCACAAAGTAAGGCTTCCTTACCTGTTCCCATCTGTTTGATGAGTAGTCTGAGGGTTGTAGACGATAACTCGTGCTGAAGATCAGTGTCTTCTTTTTGAAGCTCGGCGAGTTTCAGAAGGTCGATTCCTTGGAAACTGTTCAAGGAAGTTATGCGAAATAAGGCGTCTGCAACTACATTGTTTGCTCCAGAGATGTGTTGAATGTCTGAAGTAAACTGCGAAATGTAGTCCAGTTGTCGAGACTCACGGGGAGAGTACTTGTCTGAAGTAGAGCTTAGAGAGAAGGTGAGTGGTTTATGGTCCGTGAAAAGAGTGAATTCACGACCTTCGATGTAGTGTTGAAAATGTCGTACAGCACAATACATAGCTAGGAGTTCCCTACCGAATGTGCTGTACCTCGATTCGGTGTCTAGCAACCGTCTAGAGAAAAATGCCAAACGTTGCCAGGAGTTGTTGATCCATTGTTGTAAGACTCCTCCGATCGCTGAGTCGGATGCGTCTACTGCGATACAAATGGGTGTTTCAGTGTCCTGATGAACAAGCATTGTTGCTTTAACGATAAGTTCCTTAGTTGTGGAGAATGATCTTCGCGTGGTGTCGTCCAGATTGATGGATTTCGCACTTACACAAAGCCGATCGGTCAGAGGCTTCATAAGTAATGTGCATTTAGGTACGAAACGTCTATAGAAACTTACCAGGTCGTTAAACGTTCGTAGATGCTTGATGGTGGTCGGTTCTGGGTAATCCAGAATTGCCGCCACTTTGGTCCTAAGGGGTCGAATGCCTTGAGCATCTATAGTGTGTCCTAGAAAGTCTAATGAGTCGGTTCCGCTTTGGCATTTCTGAACGTTTACAGTAATGCCATGTTTCTGTAGTCGTTTAAAAACAAAATCCAGATGCTTGAGATGTGTTTCTCTGTCCGGACTTGCGATTGGGCAGTCGTCAACATACGCATGTACGAAGTTGAGACCTCGAAAAACGTCGTCTATGAATCTTTGGAATGTTTGAGCAGCGTTTCTTAGACCGAAAGGCATTCGCAAAAATTCACCGAGTCCGAAGGCAGTAATGATGGCGGCTTTCGGAATGTCATCAGTAGCCATAGGGATTTGGTTATACGCTTTAACCAAGTCGATTTTTGAAAAGACAGTTGTACCTTTCAAGGTAGCTGTCAAATCGTGAATGTGAGGCAACGGGTAACGATCGGGAATGGTTTTCGCATTCAATTGCCGATAGTCACCAGTTGGACGCCAATCGTTGCTGTCCTTTTTAGGGACCACGTGCAACGGAGATGCATATAGGCTATTTGACGGTCGTATGATTCCTAAGTCTATCATGTGATCGAACTCGTTTTTCGCTAATCTTAACTTTTTGGGCCCCAGTCGTCGTGCTTTAGAGAATACAGGTGGTCCTGTAGTCGTGATGCGATGTGTAACGTTGCTGGTTACACACGGTAGTTTCGGTCGCGTTTGTTGTACCCCAGGATACTTACCGAGTAGCAGTTGATAAATTGGGTCTATCGTACGCTTAATTGTGACTGGAGATAATCTGCGACCAGAGAAAAAAGTTACGCAAACGGACAAATTAGTGTTTCCGTCTACTAGCCTCCGTTTGCGCGTATCGATGAGTAGATTTTGGTGTTGTAGTAGGTCGATACCAATGATTGGCACAGAAATATCTGCAACGACGAAGATCCAGTGTATGAGTTTGCGTAAACACACGTTAAGGTAAACGTACGTTTTACTGTATGTGACGATAGACATTCCGTTTGCCGTCCGTGGGTTTGAAAACTACTCGTGAGGCTAGTTGTTAGAATTTACGGGACGAACGCTAACGTCAGCGCCAGTATCAACGAGGTAGCGCCACATCGGTAACGTATAACAGACGGTTGTTTTCGCCGGCTACGGTTGCCGTTAACGCGTGCTGGCTTGGAAGTTCCCCGGATTGTTTTTCGTGTCGGTCGATCTCGGGTTGGGAAAATTGCAGGGTTTCCTGCAGTTTCTGGAGAACTTTCCATACTGGTTATGATACCAGCACCAGTCTCTCGTGGTCTAGAGACAGATCGCCTAAGTGAAGTGCTTCTACGAAGAGTGTGTGGCTGTTTACGGTCGTTACGAAATTTAAGATAACGTGTAAGTGTATGACATAACTTGGTTATGTCGTTCTGGGTCGTTTGAGGCTTTTCTTTGAGTGGAAAAACCTCGGTAGCAGAAGATTTCGTGATTTCTAATATGTGGTTGGCAGATGCACCCAGCTCGTCTAAGGCGTCGTTTTGAAACGAGACCAGCACAGCTTGCACCTGTTGAGGAAGATTGAATAAGAAAAGTCGTTTGAATAGGCCATCATCGAAGGTTCTTCGGCCGATAACCTCTCTCATTCTTCGCAACATGTGTGTCGCAGAACCGTGTTGCAGGTCGATGTTATTAAGGAGTTGGTCTAAACTTTGTCGATCAGTTAGGTCTCCGTGTTTAAGGATAGATAGTTTCAGTGTTTCGTAGGGTTCAGAAACATCACTAGTAAACATGCTAGTTGTTACGTACCTGTTGAATTCGCGCGGTAGTGCCTTGACT